GAATTGATCTCCCCTCAAAGGCACAGGTGCGTGGTTACGCAGGAAATAGTCCACCCCTTTGTCACGGACTGCACCTTCCAATTGTGGCCACCAGCTCAAAGTATTGGACTTATAGGCAGTGATGGTGTAGACGTTGGCGCGTGCAGCTTCGTCACAAACGTCTTGGCGATCGTCAACGTGGATGTTGGCGCCGCTAGATGTTAGAACGGGTGTCTTACCACCAGGACCTACTGGATCGTTAACCACAGTTACAGTGCGAAACGGAAGGCCCTGTGATCTACAGTACTCCGCAAGGTTATTTGCTTCTTCTTCTGTCTGCCGACCGCGGGCGAGAGCGCTGAAGGAAACAATATGGAATTCTATTCGGCCTTGTGCGACCTGCACTAAGCTTATGAACTTTTCCAAGATAGAATTATCAAATACCTTAAGGGCGTTTCTGGCGCAGTCGAGGGTGTCGTGCCAGTCGAAAAACACGACTAGATTATTGCCACCGCCACCTCGCTCTTGACGAGCTCGGATTAACGGGCCTAAATCTAATCTACCCCCTGGCGCGCGAATCGCAGCACCTGCCTTACCTCTAGTAGGAACAGCTGCTGTTGATGTAGAAGACGCCACAGGTGGTTGCGGAGGTGGTGTTGGTGGTGTCGGTGGTGTAGACACTGGTGTCGCAGGTGGACTAGGTTTTGGGGACGCGGTCTTATGGGCTTTTGGCACAGGACGATCGGGTCTAGGGGGAACCACAATAGGAGGTTGTTTAGCAGGAGGCTTAACTTTATTATGTTTTTGCTTCTGCTTTTCCGATTGGTGGTATGCCTCTAGTGCTTGGCGATGCTTGCGATCGGCAAGTGACTCCACGTGCTTTTCCCAATCTCGGTCCTGTCGTTCTTTTGAACGTGCCCAGGCCGCGTTGAGTTCCTCCTCGGTCGGCGCCGGTGGATCTGGATCAACACCTGGCTCGTAAGCTTGGCCAACAGTTACGGAGTAGTTATAGGGAGGTCTAGGAGGAGCCTTGTACTTCTTTTTGATTGGAGGACCTCCTTGGGGCGCACGTGCAGCCCCTTCCCGCCAGGGTGGAACTGCTGATGCGGACCTACTTGCTGCACTAACTCCGGGTGGAGGCGGCTTAACTTTAGCTGGTTGGGATGATGATCTAGGTGGCGGCGAACCTATTGATTTTGGAGGAGTCTTAGGTCTTGGGATATCAGGAACAAAAACCTGGGCTTTGGTGCCGTCTCGAAAGATTTGGGTTTGGATTGTACCTGAAACTCTTGTTGAAGAAGTTGTGCTGGCAACTGGAGCCTCTTCTTCAATTGGTGTGTCCCTGTGACGTGATCTGGAACGTTCAGCATTTTTTGCACTGGGCGACAAAAACCTACTAACACTACCTCTTGGGGATGATTCTTTTGGAGATGGCTGCAATGGAGTGCTATGTTCCTGAGGCGCTAATGGAGCAGCCTCTTCCTCAACCTCAACCTCAACTTCTACCTCTTCCTCGCCCTCGGGAGGGGCTTCAGGAGGATCAGATGAGTGGTCCTCTTCCTCCTCGCCTTCGCCTTCTTGAGGTTCACCGGGTTCAGACGGATCGTCACCCGGGGCGTCAGGTTCGGATGGAGGCTCACCTGGAGCGGCAGCGGTTGATGTTGGTTCGGGTTGAAGAGGTGACCTACGTCGGGATTGATAAACCTGCCTACGCCCAGAAGAAGTTGTTGTAACAATAGCCCTTCTTTTTGGTGGAGGAACTGTAGTTTCTTCTTCTTCTTCAACCCCGTCAACAAGTTCTGAGTCTACAGCAACTAGACCCTCAGGTTCAGAGATCGGGATTACCTGGGTATTATGGGAGGATACCAATGCAGTGTTGCTACCAACCAATGACGGATCCCGCCAAACTTCGTCAGCAAGTTCGTGTGGGTCAACGGATGATGTAGCAGTGCCAGGAATGGCAACAGGAACAGTTGTGGGTTCCCTTCCAACAGAGCCAGGCGGCTTTGAGATACGCACCCAAGTGCCCTCAGAGTTTATTATCACAGGGGGATAATTACTATCAGCGGGTCTTAGGGCTATTGGTCGGGAACTAAGACTAGGGGTACCCAAGTTACCACCCCTTGCACGGCGCAACACCTCAGTGTCCTGATCTGCAAAAGAACCGTCAGCTCTCGGGGTGAGAGTGGCTGGAACCCGTGATCTGGAGCAGCTCACTGGCTTAGGTGCAGCGGGTGCTGATGCGGCTGGGGTTTTATCGATGTTACCACCTTTAACTTTTCGGGCAGGGGGTGTGCCAGCTCTCTCACGTGGTCTCCCACGCTCTGCCTTATCCAAGTCAGCCGCCGATGGCGGTGGATGAGATGGTGGCGGAGGGATCGCTGTTGCAGCCCTCTCTCCTCTTGGCGTTGTAGCTCTTGGCGGCCGCTGCGGAGGGGGTCCTAAAGTCTGGTGGAAATCTCGATGTGGTGGCACTGGAGGTGCTGGATAACTTGGTGGTGATCCTAATCTATTTAAAGGATTACTCTTGGGAGGCTTAGCAACTTTGGGGTCCGATGCTTTAGGCTTGGCCGGTTCTGGCACGGATGCTTCGCCGGATGCTTTTGGATCGGATGCTTGCTGGGCCTTCTCAAGTTTAGGGCGCTTTTCAGCAGCCCCTCCCGTGACACGTGGCGGCGGAACACTGGCTACGGATTCTGAAACTTTCGGAGCGGGTTGATGGCCTGCAGGTCGAAGGGATGGCACCCACGGCGGTGGGTGATTAGGCTCCTTGGGCTCTGACGCTGGCTTAGGCCTAGCTTTAGCTTTGGGTGGACCCCTTGGTGATGGAGTGTGGGTTTCTTCAGAAGAACTAGCACCCCTATCTAATGTTGGGTCAACACCTAAGGCTGTAGCTTGCTCGGATCCAGATGGTAGTTCAGTATTTTGGGTAAACACACTAGCTTTGGCTTTTGCCTTACCTTTTGGCTGTGGACCCCTATAGGTATCGTAGTCGTCCCAAACGGATCTAGGTGGATCTGAATCCCCAAAAGCCTGCAAGTTGATGTGTTCCCTATCAGGTAGCACGGTGTTTGCGGCAGTATCTGGAGCAAGATGCAATTCACCTCTTCGATATCCGTTGGTAAAAACCCAATTTCTATAAGGAGCAAAGGTATTAGCAAGATGGACTAAGATTTGGTTTAGCGTACAATGATTGTAGAGGACTCTAAAGACACGGACAGTCCAGATCAGTTCAGCGGATGCTTCTGAGTGGTGGACGTACCTGAGCCAGAATTCTGCCTCGTTCCAAAGAAAGTTAGCTAGTTTATCAAAGTCGGATTGCCAACGCTGGATGAGCCTCTTGGTCTGGGCTTTCTTCCCGCCTTTGGTACCACGTACACGGGGACCTCTGGACGGTCCTGCAGGAGAGTGGCCTGTTTGGACGTGCCCAGTTGTTGAGGCGCCTGCGGCAGCCCCTTCCTGCTCAAGACACGGTGATGTTGGGGGCGGCGGGACTTCGTCCTCTTCCGCTACCCCTCCAAGGTGTTGGACGTATACCGGAGCAAATGTCGAATTAGGATCTGGCTCAACTACGGATGGAGAGCTTCCTACAATCGGATCTGCGGCGGAGTCTGCAACCTCAGCACTAGTTTCCTGATCAGGGTTATTAGAAAAATCAGCTTCTTCTTTTGGAATTAGATTTTCGGGGTTATCGTTTTCGAGATTATTTTCTGCTTCAACTAAGCCGGATGCTGCAGCTTGATCAGACGGAACAGTGGGTTCAGCTTCGAGTGCCTCAAATAACTCTTCAGCAGTGACCTCTTCAGGTTTGACTGGGTCGAGCAATGAAAGTGCGTCGAACTTCAAGATGTCGAAGTCCTCCTCGTCGCTTGGGGCGCAACCTGCAGCCCCTCCCACGTCCACCTGGTCAGTTGTCAGCTCGGGCGCGTCTTCAGAGGCGTCTGCCCAGTTGAATCCAGTACTGCCTTCAGCAGCGACTTCAGCGCTTTCAGCGGCTTCCGCCTCTGCTTCCGGGTTCCCGTCAGCAACCGGTTCGGAGGCGCTCAAAGCAGCCCCCTCCAACAGACCCTCTGGTACCATACAAGGTGAAACAGGGAATCAGCGAAAAAGATGGGATAGTGAACGAGGTTGCGTGGGGCCTAAGTTACCGACAAGGGAGATTAAGACTTTCCCAGCAAAAGAACACTAAGCCAATACGGCTGATAACCAGAGAAACAAGGGGGAAAACAACCAAACACCGTTATTAAACTCCCTTGTCCCAAGATCGTGCAAACGCCCCCTTTTTGCCATGGGGCGCTTGAGCCATGTAATTACGGTAGACTACTATGACCAACCCTGCTGGATTAAAGGAGGGGGTCAATACCTACTCTATTACGTGGCTACACCTACAACTAACGCTTCTAGTTGGAGGTTGCGTTGAAATTAAGATGACTGTACAATCTACTGGAGTGTTGATGTCATAGCTACAGTATGGAGTGAGCTAATACTAGTATATACAGTGGTGGTATAGGGGTCGTAATATTTCTACTTATATTATGTGTATATACATATATTATGTATATATATTATGTATATATTATGTATATATATTATATATATATATTATGTGCATATATATATATATATTACGTGTGTATATATATATATTATGTATATATATAGATTACGTGTGTATATATATATATTATGTGTATATAAATCTATTATGTATATATATACTATGTATATACATATATGCATATATATATATATATGTTATGTGTATATATATATGTCTATATATTATGTATAATATATTTTTATATTATACACTAAGTATATATATATATGTATAGCTAAATCATGATTCAATCCTGACTTTTGTTTGTTAAGTTTCACCAGTAAAAAATATGCTAAATCCCACCAATCCAGGTAAATCCACCCCACAAAAACAAAGTATCATCAGCTAAATGAAAAAAACCACACGTAAATCATGTTCATCCACTTTTTTGGGGTGAAGTTCACCCCCCTACCACTAGCACCTGAGCGAAGGAACAGTTGTTCCACTTCTCAGGAGCCAACCTGGCATGGCGAAGTGGTGTTCATGCAGGAAAATAGCGAGTTAAGCAAACAAAAAGGGATATTACCCTAAGGTAAACATACAAAAAATCTCAAGAGAGGTGGAAAATCCATGGTTTCGGTAGGAAAAACAACCTACAATTGGTGGGTTTCCACATACGTCAGTTTGCAGGAGGGTACCGTGATTTCACGACCAATATTTTGTTTGAGGGATTGAGACTTGATATATCTATAGTTGGATGGGGCCATTGAAGCAACAAATGGGGAAGGCTCTTCTTAAATATGTTTCATGGGGATTTAATAAGCCTTGAAAAAGTGGCTGTTGGTAGAAGTAACCCACATTCTATATGGAAATATAGTAAGATATTACATGAGATGGCACGTTTTAGGACGCAACAATACGTTTCCAATTAACAACAAACAGGAAATCGCTAGCAAAGAATGGGGGAGTTCACCCGCAAATCGGAACATTGGTACTTGCTCAAGTCCGAGAATAGGGTACTTCCCAAAATCCCATGGCAAAACAGTTTCCCCATTATAAGTAATGGCCAATTTGCATCCCCCAAAAAAACATAAAAAAACGATGTCCATGATGTCCATTGCAGTGTCCAGATGTGTCCAGCAATTTTTCTCCACACCTCAAGTTCTGGAAGATTTCCTGAAAGATCCGATCGGAGAGCTTCTCGCCTACTCCTGTGTCGTGGGATGTCGTGGGTCGCCTTCCAAAGGGTCGGGGTTCACCGAAGCTCGGATGACTCACCAAGAGACATTGAGATTTGATCATTGGATGATCAAGAAACAAGGATCGAACCATCAAGAAATATGGATTTCATCAGGAACCATCAAGAAATATGGATTTGATTTGGAAAAACAAAACAATCTGGTAATTTGACCAATCAACTGCCAGTTTTAAGCCGCTAAATATCAAGGCGTTCCTTCTATAGAGCTACGGAAGTGTCCAAAACCTTCTGGAGGTTCTACTACTGGTCGCATATGGAGTGTATATCTTTTCCTTAAAGAACATCCAAAGAACATCCATGTGCCCAGTATCGCGTGTTTAGCACATCACTGTCACCATTTTATACATAGGGCACCCATTTTATACATCCCTATGGATCCAAGATGATCCAGTCGTACCTTCGACTGGGAAGTGGGACCGGGGTATGGAGGGTATGCCACGGGATGCCAGGGGATGCTCCCACGCTTTTCCTCGAAGAATCTTCGGTTTAGGGGACCCAATTTTCTGGCTAAACCACGACCCAATTGGGAAACGAGTTTCCAAACATTTCACGACCCATCCCCACTATGAAGCAAAATGTGGGTAAATCTCTAATCATTCATGGTTCAACCATGGATTGTTCTTCGCCTTTTCCCATCATGTTCAATGGTTGTCCTTGAACGAGTTGTAGTACCTGCAGCGAAGCCAATGAACCATCCCCACTTGGGGATTAACCAAAAAAAAGCCTCTGGTTGTGTCAAAATAGCTATTGAAAATGGCTCAGTTATAGTGGATTTACCCATTAATAGCATGGTGATGTTCCATAGTTATATATGTAAACGTTTACTAGAGGGTATCTAATTTGTCTATTTTTGGGGGGGATCTGTGAATTATGTGTGATATGTGATATGTGACAAGCACATCCCAATGATCTAATTTTGTATTTTGTTTGGGATACCCTCTGGTAAGCTAACATAAGTATGGAAAATCACCATGTTTTAATGGGAAAACTCACTATAAATGGCCATGTTCAATAGCTATGTTAGTCATTACCAGAGGGTATGTGATATGTGTGTAGTAGAATGACACCCGGATGGTTGATCCCCAGCAGCCTGGGTATGAATCACCCTTGGCCACGGGATATGCTGGGTAAGAAAATGCAGCTCATAAGTGGCTGAATTCTATGGTTTATGATACATATAACTATAGTTAATATTAGTTACTGTAATATTAGTTTATGGGGGCTATAATATGTTATAATGGTTTATAAACAATATGGTGGTTTCCATAAATGGAGGTACCCTAAAATTGATGGTTTATAATGGAAAATTCCAATCTAAAATGGATGATAACTGGGGATACCCCTATGGATTGGACACCTCCATATGACAAGGACCATTAAGAAAACATGATAAAACATGCCGAACCAAAAACCCAAGGTTCAACGGTTCACGCACGAGTTTCATGAAATATCACCCGAATTGGGGTTTCAGAAGGTCAACGGTCAACCAATGAATATCCAGCGCGACTGGATGCTCAAGTCCATTCGAGCGGTGGGGAACCATGAAACAAGTGGGCAACTGGTGCACAAGAGGGATACTTTCTATACCAACATAGCGAACTGGAAAATCACCATATTTTCATAGATGTATTTGTTTAATCTGCATGTTAATAATTTATAAATTGTGCCATGTCGGTTTAGTAGCTATGTTTTCCATGTCGGCTATGTCGCCTCCAGGGGTCATCCCGAAACAGATGAGATGGGCGAAGGTTGGGCCAAGGTAGACGTGCCAACGACGGCGTCTGAACATAGCGTGCCCAAAATGTGAAAATGTATGTTCATGTTGTATATCATAATCTTTTGGTTGAATCTTTTGGTTGAAATGGACTCTCTTTTGGCCATATGAATCGATGCTACTTTTCTGGATCATTGCACATATAATAACTAGTAACTAGTGAATAACCCTGCTTATACTAGGTCCCCATTCAGTAGCTGTTTGCATTTATAACTGGCTGCGCCAACCCACTCACCCAACCACTTACTAATCATCATTGGTTAACTAGCCCATACTAATTCTTGCTGTCCCTAGGTATTTTCCCTTAATATTCCCGTGATCTATGGGATGATTTGCCCAGCGGCTCTTTTCCATGCCAAGCGGTGGCGAGGAATGAAGGCACATTGAAGGATGGCTACCAGATCCCTGACCTTGGCGTTATCAGAGGATGGCAGCTGGTTTTTTTCTAAAGAATTTCCCATGGGGAACACACAATCTATACTGCATAGGGACCATATGGGATCATCATTGATGGATGGACTGGGAATATCATGAGAATTATGCACCACTAAAGGACTAAAGGTAGGAAATATGCAAATATATATATATATATATATATGTATATTACGGAATCCGATGTGAGATTGTCCCTTGCAAAAACACGCAATATTCTTTTCGGGCTGTTCAAAAAGGTCGGAAGACTTCAAGACCTATATGTTCTCTATTTTACTGGCTAAACTACAATATTTCACTAACCATATGGCTTCTTCTCAAGATAGTTCCCCGAGTCCTGTTCCCATCATTCTCTCCAGTCACGAAGCAAACTGCTTCGAAACATTGATCAAGCCTAAGGTGGGCCACCAGTGATGTTAGTTGGTATGTAAAGCCATCTAGCTATAGATATCTACCATTGCCTACCATGTAAAAAAGAAACACACAATATCATAGGAAACTGAGTTACAACACAACTCAGCTATCTTGCGGGCACCACATTGTATGGGTAAGACAGGATCTATTCTTTGCACCTGAAGAGATAGAAAATAACTATCCATTTCCATCAGCGGTGCTTTCTCTCTCCCCACCACTTTTTCATCTTCTGCAAGGCACGTGCGCAGATTGCGTCCATTTCATTTTACCAACCTCACAAAAAGGTGATCATCAATCCCGGAGCGGCATCGCAGAACAATGAAATGAACCCATCCCTCGTTCATACGAAAAACATACCCCCGGAAAACCACGGTGGATGTAGATAATTTACACACACTTGGGCTGTTTCAGGGGGAACGGGTTTGCGCTGGTGATTTTTGGAGGCAAATTAGTTGGACAGTAACTACGGAGCGGGATGTCGGTGGGTGGGATCTGAACAACGGCTTGCGACGGTTGCGTGATGGAAAATCGATGATTGGCAAAAGGCATTGTGGGAGTATAACTATGATATATTTGGTGATATAATTGGTGATATTCAACTGATTATCATAACTATATCACAATTTTATGTTGATTATCATAACTATAATTGGTGATATTTCATGATCATCAACATAAAATAACATCAATAAATTAAAAACCAACTTGACATAATAGTCTGAAAATGCAGAATGCCCGCAAATTATTTATCTTACTGAGGAACATTATATTTTCACCCTTGGCCTTTGGGGTACCCTATTGTCAGCCAAACCCAGTAGATGAATGATGTGAATTCTATGCTGTACCTCTTAGACTCTGGGGCATTTCCAAGGTTTCGTTCCCATGTCCGGTGTACCCTCCGGTAAACATGGCTGGAAATCCAACTTTTATGTTGATGATCTTCCCAGCTATCAACCCCATTTCTCTGGGTAAATTACAATAATTCACTAACCTGAATATCTGAATTAAGGCCATAAAAGGGGATGATTTCCCTTAATAACCATGATTCCTGGGACTCGGGAGAACAGTGAGGTCGCTATAATTTGCCCAGATTTATAGATTATTTTTCTGGCTGGTGGTTTCAACCCCTCTGAAAAATACAAAAGTCAGTTGGGGTTACTATTCCCAATATATGGAGAAAAAAAATCACTTTCCAAACCACCAACCAGTCATAGTAGATTTCTCCATTTTTCCCATGATTTTTCCCATGGAAAACGTTGGAGTTTCACAGCCAAGGGGCCAAGTGATACGGCACGTCATGCGCTCTTAAGTTGGCCTCAGAACTCACCGCCGTGCTGGAGATCTCACTAGTTTCATGTCATCCCAGCAACCCCCAGCAACCCATCCAGCAACCCTACGTTTAGCACGCACCAGTAAGTTGAAGTTCAATTCTATAAATGAAGAGTTCGTTTCCTAACACTTATGGGCAGTCGACAGCCGACAGCTGTCCCTAAGCAGTTCCAAGAAACTTTCCGTCGGGTATAGTCAGCGACACATAGACAGTGCCGCTCACTCAGTATTGGTTTGTTACTAGGGCCTTAGGGATTGTCAGCGCTCATGGATTGTGATCATCCTCAATATATTGGTTAATGATGGTTAATTAGAATAACACCCCCCAAGCTAATCATCAATCAACCATTTATCCGTGACACCTCTTTTTTTGCTGTGAAAAACCTATACGTTTGATGGTCCCACTTTTTGCTGGTTTAAAGCCCCCTTTTTTTGATGGTTAAATCCCCTCCCCTCCGAGGGTCACTTTGTGTGGCGACCGAAAACCCTTTCGACGCCGATGCCGGATCTCTAACGTTACGGAAAAAGATGCAATCTTAAAAATGGTGGATTGATATGGTTTAGTATGGTTTAAAATGATTGTATATTGTTTAATATGGTTCAATATAGGTTTGTATGGCTCAACGTGAGTTGATCTGGTTTAATCAGGTTTGATATGGTGTCATGTGGTTCAATGTGGTTCAATGTGGTTCAATATGGTTCAATGGTTTAATTTATATAATACAGTTTGATGGACAAGAGGGGGAAAAATCTGCTAACCAAAAATGGGTGACTGGATTGCATGGTGAAAACACAAGACACCCGGTGATCATTCAGCGGGTCTTCATAGAAAGTGTATTTGCACTTATAGCTGTTCAACTCGTTTTGTTCATGTGGAAGTCGTCCGCAATGCAACTGCAGAAGACAAAACTACCGTCCCAAATCCACCCAAAAACAAACCATGTTTGATCTTTAAGATGGAGATAGATGTGTTTGACCATCATTCATGGGGATAATGTGACAAACAACAAACGGTTGCCTGAACCCCCCGGCAACCGGTTAGTCAGTTCGTGTTTTTGATAGTTGTTTTCACGATCCTTAATTTGTACAATACAGTATCATATATCTAATAATAATATGTATATATATATGTAGATTACATATGTATACACACATTTTTCTTTGCAATCTAAAATCTAGATGAATTATGATGTATTCATGAATCAACATGGATATTATACAATTTTTGTCCATATAATATCGTCCACTAATCTAATTTCGATTGAATTCGCCCACCCATATATCATATCATGTATGTATATATATATATCGTATATCTATCATATATCATATATATATATATCGAAAATCCCATTCAAACAGAACGAATGTGAACCCACTTTTGGAAGGGTGCAGTTGAGGCTATAAATGGAGTTTCTATCCCAACAGTTTCTTATTTATAAAGAGTTAGTGTTGGTAAAACAATGCCATAAACCACCCATGACTGGGAATGGTGCTCACCACCTATAAAAATGGTGATGACTGGGATGGTTTGTGCCCTTGTTTTACCCACATTAATCCTCAAAACCACCATTAGTCGTTATAAATCACTACTCATGGATTATAACCACCATTAATCACTATTGTGTTGACACTTTGGTTGTTAATGTGATCCAAAAAAATCACTAGTAACCACTATTAATCACTATTAGCCACCATTAATGGCATAGTTATACCTCTATAAACCCTATATAATCCCTATATAATCCCATTGTTTTTGCCACCATTATTGCCATTGACTCCACCCCAACTGCAGCACGCTGGAACTCATTCGACTCCGCACCTCCAGCATTTTCGATGCCCTGCCCTTCCTGAACAACACCGCCATATCCCTGCAGCGTCGGTGCCGGAGGGGTCGCAACAAGGACGCAACAAGGCGAGTTGCAGAGGGGTTAATTGGAGAAACATTGCAGGTAATATGACCAATTTACCTCCCAAATCTTGCTATCATTTACCTATAATGAGTTGGAGCAAACCATTTTGTATAAAGCTTGGCATTCAATCACAATCGAACTGAGAAACAATAATATTTTGTTTTTTTAGTTTAGGGGCATATCCGTAAAATGACAGTTCCAATACAGAAAATGATGAAGCAAACCATTTGACGTGCTTACTGCATTTCCAATTTTGCTGCATTGGTGCATCGACGTTTGCTGTCTTGATTTGGAGATGGCACTTTTGGGGCTAATGTTTCCCCATTCTTTGAGACAAGCAGAATGGGGAATATCTCAAATTTACTTAAACAAATGGTGTCACGTCAAACATTAAAAAAAAACGACTTTTCCGGTCCATTATTCCGATCCAGTTCAATACCCTCACATAATCTATGTATGAGTATGGAATACTTATTTGCAAATGCCTGGGCTTTGTCCGGAGCGGCAGGATGGCGGCATATGACATTCTTCATCTTCGCCATTGAATGTCACGTTGAACCGGGGTGGGAATTCAGATTCTTCTTCGCCTGGGCATTGCGCCCAGGCGGTATGCTAGTATATCTCAACGATTCTGATGAAAAATCCCTAGTTAAATCACCATAAGTTCCCTAGTTAAATCACTGCTATATACCATCTGGTTATTTAACATAGCCATGGAAAATCACCATTTTTAATAGGTGAACCATCTATAAATGGGCCATTTTCCCATGGCTATGTTAAATAACCAGATGGTAAATCTCTATTTCTGCACGTAAAAATTACTTTACTTCGTGTGATCCCCACCATGACATTTATACATTTTCTTACTGGCAAATCTTCTGGCATTCTATCTGACATATCTTCTGACATTGTATTTGGCATTCTATCTGGCATATCTTCTGGCATATGATCTGGCATATCTTCTGGCATTCTATCTGGCAAATCTTCTGGCATTCTATCTGGCATATCTTCTGGCACTTCTATCTGACATATCTTCTGGCATTCAATCTGGCATTCTATCTGGCATATCTTCTGGCATATATTCTAACATATCTTCTGGCATTCTATCTGACATATCTTCTGGCATATATTCTGACATATCTTCTGGCATATCTTCTGGCATATCTATCTGGCATATCTTCTGGCATATTTTCTGGCATTCTATCTGGCAAATCTTCTGGCATTCTATCTGGCATTCTATCTGGCATATCTTCTGGCAAATTATCTGGCATTCTATCTGGCATATCTTCTGGCATATATTCTGACATATCTTCTGGCATTCTATCTGGCATTCTATTTGGCATTCTATCTGGCATATCTTCTGGCATATCTTCTGACATTCTTTCTGACATTCTTTCTAACTTTCTTCTGCACATTCTTTGTCCCATATCTTCCTACATGAGGTCCGGCAGGGAACACTTGGCGTGGATACTCGCGGTTGAGGTCCGGCAGGGAACACTGGGCGTGGATGGTCGTGGTTGAGGTCCGGCAGGGAACACTGGGCGAGGGATGGTCGTGGTTGAGGTCCGGAAGGGAACATTGGGCGTGGATGGTCGTGGTTGAGGTCCGGCAGGGAACACTGGGCGTGGATGGTCGTGGTTGAGGTCCGGCAGGGCACACTGACGTGGATGGTCGTGGTTGAGGTCCGGCAGGGCACACTGACATGGATCGCAGTGGAGCAGGAGGAGGACGAGGAGGACGAGGAGGAGGAGGAGGAGAAGGAGGACGAGAAGAGGGAGGAGAAGGAGGAGGAGGAGAAGGAGGAGGACGAGGAGGACCAGGCAACTGACATAAAATCTAACAACCCTCACCTGGCAGGTGGGGAAAAACACAATCTTTCCCGAACACGCCTCGGATCCCGGCCCGGGGCCCGCAGCACGGAACCTCCACTGGAAACCCTTTTCGTTGTGCAAGAACTCAAGCTGCGACAGCACCCACTGCGCCTGCTGGCACCATGGCCCAGCCATGCTTCGATTTAGGATGATTTACTGATCAACATATATGAAAATATATCAAAAGAGTAATTTTCCATAGCTATTCCATAGCTATGTTAGTTTACTGGATGGTAGTGAACAACTAGACGACGGATGGCCCGAGAGCGTAGAGGAGCAGGGTCTTCTCTTGTTAGTATGGAGATGCAATTTTAGAAACGGTATATGAAAGCTGTGTTATAGGCAGTCGAGAAGAGGAGTATCAAGACAAAATAGTGAGAAGTGCAAGACAATAGTTTGCATCGCAAACACTTTTACACACAGACGCTTTTACACAGACGCTTTTACACACAGAGACGCTTTTACACACAGAGACGCTTTTACACACAGAAGCTTTTACACACAGACCCTTTTACATACAGAAGCTTTTACACACAGACACTTTTACACACAGACGCTTTTTACACACAGACACTTTTTACACACAGACGCTTTGACACACAAACACATTTACACACAGACGCTTTTACACACAGACGCTTTTTACACACAGACACTTTTTACACACAGACGCTTTGACACACAAACACATTTACACACAGACGCTTTTACACACAGACGCTTTTTACACACAGACGCTTTTTACACACAGACGCTTTTACACACAGAGACTTTTACACACAGAGACGCTTTTACACACAGAAGCCTTTACACACAGACGCTTTTACACACAGACGAAAGGGTTGCTCCGGGGCAAGTAAAATCGCAATTTTACCTCAGTTTTTGCCGATCGACCCTCATTTCGTGCGAAAGCGTTGCTCCGGCACAAGTCAAATCGCAATTTTACCTCAGTTTTTGCCGATCGACCCCTCATTTCGTGCGAAAGGGTTGCTCCGGCACACGAAAAATCGCAATTTTACCTCAGTTTTTGCCGATCGACCCTCATTTCGTGCGAAAGGGTTGCTCCGGCACAAGTCAAATCGCAATTTTACCTCAGTTTTTGCCGATCGACCCTCATTTCGTGCGAAAGGGTTGCTCCGGCACAAGTCAAATCGCAATTTTACCTCAGTTTTTGCCGATCGAACCTCGTTTCGTGCGAAAGGGTTGCTCCGGCACAAGTCAAATCGCAATTTTACCTCAGTTTTTGCCGCTCGACCCTCATTTCGTGCGAAAGGGTTGCTCCGGCACAAGTAAAATCGCAATTTTACCTCAGTTTTTGCCGATCGACCCTCATTTCGTGCGAAAAGGTTGCTCCCGGGGCAAGTAAAATCGCAATTTTACCTCAGTTTTTGCCGATCGACCCTCATTTCGTGCGAAAGGGTTGCTCCAGCACAAGTAAAATCGCAATTTTACCTCAGTTTTTGCCGATCGACCTTCATTTCGTGCGAAAGGGTTGCTCCGGCACAAGTAAAATCGCAATTTTACCTCAGTTTTTGCCGATCGACCCTCATTTCGTGCGAAAGGGTTGCTCCGGGGCAAGTCAAATCGCAATTTTACCTCAGTTTTTGCCGATCGACCCGCATTTCGTGCGAAAGGGTTGCTCCGGGGCAAGTCAAATCGAAATTTTACCTCAGTTTTTGCCGATCGACCCTCATTTCGTGCGAAAGGGTTGCTCCGGCAGACGAAAAATCGCAATTTTTCCTCAGTTTTTGCCGATCGACCCTCATTTCGTGCGAAAGGGTTGCTCCGGGGCAAGTCAAATCGCAATTTTTCCTCAGTTTTTGCCGATCCACCCTCATTTCGTGCGAAAGGGTTGACGTTTCGTGACTCGCCGCCGGCACCACCCTCGGCCTTAAGAGAGAAAGATAAAAAGAAGGCATGAGAGAGAAGGTGAGCAGGTGTGAAGATAAGAAGATGTGAAGATGAGCAGATGTGAAGATGAGCAGATGTGAAGATGAGCAGATGTGAAGATGAGCAGATGTGAAGATGAGAAGATGTGAAGATAAGAAGATGTGAAGATGAGCAGAGGTGTGAAGATAAGAAGATGTGAAGATGAGCAGATGTGAAGATGAGCAGATGTGAAGATGAACAGATGTGAAGATGAGAAGATGTGAAGATGAGCAGATGTGAAGATGAGCAGATGTGAAGATGAGCAGATGTGAAGATGAGCAGATGTGAAGATGAGAAGATGTGAAGTTGGGAAGGTGTGAAGATGAGCAGATGCGAAGATGAGCAGATGTGAAGATGAGCAGATGTGAAGATGAGCAGATGTGAAGATGAGAAGATGTGAAGATGGGAAGATGTGAAGATGAGCAGATGTGAAGATGAGCAGATGTGAAGATGAGCAGATGTGAAGATGAGCAGATGTGAAGATGAGAAGATGTGAAGATGGGAAGGTGTGAAGATGGGAAGGTGTGAAGATGAGCAGATGTGAAGATGGGAAGGTGTGAAGATGAGCAGATGTGAAGATGAGAGGATGTGAAGATGAGAGGATGTGAAGATGAGCAGATGTGAAGATGAGAGGATGTGAAGATGAGAGGATGTAAAGATGAAAAGATGTGAAGATGAGAGGATGTGAAGATGAGAGGATGTAAAGATGAAAAGATGTGAAGATGAGAGGATGTGAAGATGAAATGTGAAGATGAGAGGATGTGAAGATGAGATGTGAAGATGAGAAGATGTTTTACAGACCCCCACTATTGGAAGAACCCTGCGCTCAGACGCTCTCGGGAAAAACTAGAATGATGCAGAAATCCTGGATTACTGAACATGCTGAACGATGCAATGTCACTATGGTGCGGAAAGGAAGGCCCATCATCCTCCATATAGCGGCGACAAGCGCTGCGTTGCCAACCAGAATCTTGCTACAGTAACAGCACTTGGGTGTGACTGAACAGGCTTAAGGGGAACATGATGATAACCCGATAACCCCCATTTTTTTTGGTGGTCATCACATGTCATCACCATATTATCAGACCTACCCACTTGACAAGGATAGTATAGTGGTTTTATATAGGAAAACATTGGTCCCACCTTGGATATCCATGGATATACCGTACCCCAGTCAATAACCACAGACTGTGCAATCACAATGTTCCACTTGTTTCAATGCTTACCCTCTGGTAAAGTAAAATAACTATGGAAAATCACCATTTTTAAAGGGAAAACTCACTACAAATGGTCATTTTCAATAGCTATGTTAGTCATTACCAGAGGGTAAATCACACTTCGACTCCCACATTTTCCTGCCGGAACCTGGCGGCAGAACTCGATCCGCCTCTGCTGAGCGATTTTTGAAGAACGCGAGTTCAGGAAATGATCCGCCTGGAAGTTGTGAATGCAAGGTCTTTCCTTGGTGGTTCAACATGACGACGCGACTGGGATGGGGGAAAAAAAACTATGGGTTTGTGGGAAAACAGATTGAGAAGAGGATCTATTTATTAGAATCTTTGGAATTGAACCTTACGTTTCTATATGTATATTTAATATTATTATTTAATTATTTCTTTATTTTTTTTGGAGGTCAGGTCACTATGAGTTTCCGACATTTCTTTTCCAAAAGAAAAACTCGGTGGGTTTCCCCAAAACAAAAAGTGTGTTTCCCCAAAAGAACCACCAAAAGCTGTTGGTTTCCCGAGCTCTCCCGAGCTGCCCCAACCCCCTTCCCGACACAGGCAGCGGGCGATAGCCCTCGGTGGCCAATGACATGACGCTGTTTGCCAAGTCCAAAATCTTCTGGTGGCTTCGATAATTCCTGGGGCTCAGCCGCCGGAACGACACATGGCGACGCAGGAATTGATGGCATGGAACCTCAGGCTGGAATCATGTATGAGTGTTTCTTAAGTTTGAATTTCTATATAGGTCTTTATAAATTTTATAAACATATAATATATTATAATATCATATATTTGTTGAGGTTGGCATGTGCTAAAATTCTTCGTAGATTTCCACGGCTGGGTCGGACATTCCAAATCGTTCCAAGGCGCTCTTCAAGTTTGAAGACGCTCACGTCTGGCGGGGGAAAAAAAACGGTGCCAGGTGTGGCGATGGATGAGTTTCTTACCCTCTGGTAATGAGTAACATAGCTATTGAAAATGTTAGTTTACCAGAGGGTAACATGAAACAAAATTGGTTCTTGGTCAGCTGACTTCTCCGCATGAGAACTTCGCCACTTGCACGAAAAAAAATCCCTTCGAACATAGTTGAGATCATGATCAAAATGTCAATTGCCAACCTCAGATAACGCTTTGCAAAGTTATTCCAAAGTTCGTGACTTTAGTGCAACACGAGATATTTCTAGATATGAATTAATTAACCAAGGCATCCAAGGCATCCTTTTTCCATGATAAACCAACTTTGCTATTTTAGGGGCCCCACATAGCATTTTAGTAGATTTCCATTCCCACTTCAGAACAAAAAACTAGCAAATCAAGATCCTAAAATCACTGAAGGTCTGAGAATTCGGAAGAAAACACCGTGAAAATATGTGAACATAGCAATGCGCTTAGGTTCCATGTTAATTTCAAAAGATGTCACATCCCACCGCATCATACCACATCCCCAAACATTACAAATCATCACCACAAAGTGGCGGCACCCATCCCAAACAATGAGCTCATGGTCGCCCAACGACAATTCATTTGCTTAAAAAAGTGTATGTATCCGCCAGAAACCATATTTTTCGTAGTTTAGTTACTAATTGTCTCAAACACCAATTGATGTCATCATTGATTGCTACGAGGCTCATGATAATTCATATATAATTAGTCTTCAAGCATAAGCGTTCATCATTGTGAATGATGAAATCCATTCCATTGCCATCAAGGTATGGGAGCCTATTTTCACCAAGCATCAGGGTTCACGTGTAATATGTATTAAGTGGTTGGTGGTGCAATAACCATCTTGAAAAATATGAGTTCGTCAACGGGAAGGATTATCCCATATATTATGGAAAATAAAACAGGTTTGAAACCACCAACTGGTTAATGTCTATAAATGTGTGAACATATAGGATATTACAGGGGAAAATGGTTCGCAATCACATTCCCATTCTTGATGGTCATTCGATGGCCATATTGCTTGGCCAAACTCTGGGGCAGCCCATTATGACTGGGAGATTCAATTGATTCGCACGCGCCGGTGCCTTCAAAGGTGTCTTCGAAGTCGCGAATGTTTGTGATGTCAGCACCTGGGAAAATAGAATGATATAGGGCCTGAAGTTGGAGAAACACAAATGATTGCAGTTGAAGGTTAAAGTGGTGTCTTTTGTGTACAAAAGAGGTGTCATATCCACATATATATATATAAATATATATACATACAAATATATACAGAGCATATACTGGTATGTAACAATAACAGCGACAGGGAAAAACAACGAAAAACATGGTCATTATCAGACACAATAATGTATATTATATTAAGTATATGTGTTTATATATTTATATGTGTTTATACATGTATATGCAGTATATGCAGTATATATATATATATATGTTTGATATTGTTTGATTATGTGTGCAGAAATGAAAACTACAAGAAGTTTGTCTGGAGCTCGGGTTCTCCAATTTTCATGGCTATCATCTGTCCAAACCACTAGAACTTGTGATATCCCTTGGGGGATATCCCACCGTTCCGGTGATCGATCCCATTCCCTGGGAGAGCAGTGAGATCCTGGTTGGTGGTTGACCTACCCCTCTGAAAAATGATGGACTTTGTCAGTTGGGGTTACGACATTCCCAATATTAATGGAAAGTCTAAGATAGCAGCCATGGAAACCAGTCACCACCAACCAGATATGCTATATATTGAATATATAGTTCCCTATCATTAACCATCATTAATTAACCATCATTAACCATTCATAACCCTATCATGAACCATCACCAATATCATGGGGCATAGCGGCAATCTCCTGACAGTGATTTCCTCTGCAAGCTGAAAAGATGCCGAAAAGCACTTCCAGGATGGTAGTTCAATGATGTTTTCCACATCACTTCCAGGTTTCAAACTTTTCGGCATCTATTTTGGGGTTCTTAAAAGAACGGAAAGTAGAACCCTATGCCCTATACTAAAACAGTGGTAACTTTGACTTTTCGGTCTATTTTGGATGGTTGCTACATCCATCGTTCCCAAGATTCTCATTGCGTTGGGTGCTCGATTTATTGGGACAACTGACCCAACCAGTTGCTGCACTTGCTGGTTCATCCCACTTCGTTGTTAGTCACCGCCTTGTGAAAATTTCAGAAACTCAGCGTACTTATCCATTCCCAAAACCAGGGATATCAGCTACCTACTTGGTGGTTCATCCCACTAAGTGGCTATAGTATCCCTGGTTACAAGTGGGATTTGAGTAGGGTTAATCCACTAACCAGGGTGAACTACCCTACTTACGATCCATGGGATGAGCCACCGAGCATCATTGATAGATACAGCTGCACATAAACCACATATTTCAAACCACCATCCGTATCATCATTGGTCATTATAATGTCATATATAATATTACCCAAAACAAATACCCCCATGTTCGATGGTTTTCTATCCCCATATCCTTTTTGGATCCGTTTTGGAGCTGCGAAAGTCGCCTCGAAAGCCGTAGATCCCCTGCGCATCATCCCCCACCACCGTGATCTGCGGCGAAGCCCTGCCCGAGGTGATGCCTCGGATCGCCGTCTGAGACGTGTGAAATTCATAGCAAGACAAGTCATAGCCATAGTTAAATCCATAGTAAAATCATTGACTCTATAGTAAAATCAATATATATATATAGTATTTAGTAGTACCATAGTATCTAGTAAAATCCATCGTAAGATCCATAGTTACCTGGTCTGAGAACTTTGAAACACACAAAAAATGAGGGTATTTTGGGGATGGGTCAGGTCAACGCGGCATCCGAGATGTTTTCAGAGATAAAAATCGGGATTTAGAGGGATTTTTCTAGGGATTTATAGATTTACAGGATATTTACCGGATAGTTCAATGGGATACAATGGGACAAAAATTAGGATTAATATCATGGAAATATACCCTCCGGTGTCATCAAACCTGCTTTGCTGGAAAACACTCCATGGATTATTTTCTCTGGTAGAAACATCCATTTATCAATAGGGGATTTCCAAGCTAGCATGTTTGATTAGCAAGGGGTATCCCATTAAATATTCCATTGACCATGTTTAACCCTTGTTTATCCCAATAACCAATATTGACCATTTTTTTCCCATTTAAAACACATATTCAAACCCCATTTTTGTATATTTTTTATAGGTTATCTCTCCATTGAATTCTGTGATGGTTGGTTTATAGACCCCATTTATAGATGATGACTACACTACCGCCGTCGGCTTCGGCCGTGTAGTGCCCGACTGCCCGAGCCCGAGCCATGCGACTTTTTAAGATGGACCCTTGAAGCAGGTCGGTGTCTTGGTACCTGTGGCCAAGCAAAGTGAGGAAATGGTGATACCAACAAAGCAGTGGGCCGCAAGATCACATCTCATAAAAATGTTGGATTATAGCATAAAACCTATAATCATTTTAGTCGGAAACCAACTTATGGAGCATATCAAATAGCATATCAAGTTACTTCTATACCAATTACATCCCCATGATGTGAAATAAATCCCATGTTTGTTGTGTGATATCCCCCACCATCCCAATCCTGAAAACATGTTAAACATGTCGGGCACTCGTCCACCAAGACGTGCTCACAGTTCTGGGAGCGTGGCTTGTGAAATACAACGAATATTAGTGGTTATCTCACGCACATACTATAAGAACTACATTTTTTATTCCAAAGGAATAGGAATATGTGTGGCTGTTCACAATGAACTATCACTATTAGTGGTTATTTAATTGTTTATTCCAAACAAATGACAACAAAACACAAACTGCGGAATGGCTTACTGCGCGGTTTACCTGACAGACTTTCCGCAGAATGGCTGGGGATGGGATCTTGGAGCGAAACTAGAATAACATATATACTGTATATATATAATCAACTTATAATGTATATGTAATATAATGTCATGTACATATGTATAAATGTAGAAGTATATAAATATAATACAATCATATACATAGTATATACATAGCTAGTTGGTGGTCTCAACCCCTCTGAAAAAAATGCTCGTCAATGGGATTATTCTTCCCAATATATGGGAAAAATAAAAAGCCATGTTCCAAACCACCAACCAGATAGTATACAATCATATACATAGTCCATAGTATATACATAGTACCCTCCAGTAAATTAACATAGACCCTGCCAGATAGGGGTTGGAAGATTAGTTTCCATTAAACATTAGTGATTTTCAGGGTCAAACTGTTAATTTACCAGAGGGTATATGAAATGTCTACCATCTGGTTATTTACCAGTTCGCCATGGAAAATCACCATTTTTAAGAACGGTAATCCATCTATTTCTATGGGCCATCTATACCATGGCTATGTTTGTCATAACCAGAGGGTATATCCCATTATCATCCCATTATTCACCATTGTTAACCCATTGTTAAACCACTAAATCACCATTAAACCACCATTAAATCACCATGTTCACTCATCCGAATCAACCGTTGTAACCGAGTTCGGCCCTGCGTCCTTTGCGACTTCTTGGCAAACGTGGGGATCCTGCAACACACGGTCGCCTCGGCTCGCGACCCTCAGTGGCCTCAAAAGCCATGGGTTGATATGGTACCAAAATAGTTATATCAATAGTATGGTTGAATACGGTACCACAATATCAACCCATAGAATCAATGCTACATAATGGTACCATAATATCATAGTTAATAGGAACATGTCAATATATCGACCCTGGTTATCACTAAAGTTAATGTCATACTAAGTTCAATATACCATAGGACCATATCAATGAAGAACCGATTTTTTTTATATCAATGGTATTGGTGAATCCATTAAATCATTCCAGTGGTTGATCAAAGAACTATCAGCAATCCATGAATCATGGGTCACCCCATAGAGCTCCTGTCAGGTCTGTTTGGATCCCCACTTTCAGACGGATTATGAGCCACCAATTTTGGCTGGGGCACACATCCAAGTGCACTACAATCAATACAGAACTTCACATCAGTCATATTATTCAACCATATAACCATATATTTGTTTTGTTTAGTAAAAACCATAGAGATTCACTGTCTCTTCTTGGCAAAAAAAACAATTCAATTGTTTCAAGCCAGGGTGGTTCCCATGGGCTGAACAAAATCTGACCTTCGCCGGTGCAACGGGGTTTTGTCAAACAAGGGTGACTTACAAAACAATGTATGGCCATAAAACAAGATACGTTGGATGTTCTGAAACATATCATGTTAACAAGCAAACTTCATTATGGCCATAAACTTCAATGTTCTGAAACATGATATGTTATATATGATGGATGATTTGGATGGGTGTTCCCAACATATTTCAAACAGATCCATCTGAAAGAGTCCCTAGACACGTCCATAAGATATGCTTTCCCGTTAGAGTCATCATAGTTCGGGGCGACCGCAAGCAGATTCAATGTGTATGATGCCCATCCAACTACAAAGTGATGCCCCCCGCAACTCCGAGTTGGGTCATCGACCCATTTTTAGGTATGTACATATTTGTGTATATATATATATATACACTGTATGGTGTACTGTATATATATATATATATTATGTATGTATGTGTATGTGTGTGTATATATATATATGGTGCAGCGTTGGCCAGGCGGCCAGCCCCCCCCCCACCAATGGGTATGGGTGGACAGTATCGTCTGGTTCTTCTGGTCCCCCCCCCCCTGTGGCCTGTGGTGATGGTATGGTTCTTCTGGTCCCCCCCCGTGGCCTGTGGTGGTGGTATGTTGGTATGTTGGTATGTTGGTATGTTGGTATGTTGATATGTTGGTATGTTGGTATGTTGGTATGTTGGTATGTTGGTATGTTGGTATGTTGGTATGTATGTATGTAGGTAGGTAGGTAGGTAGGTAGGTAGTTAGGTGGACCACCGCCCACAAATGGCCGTGGCGTTCTTGTTGTTTTTTTGTGGTTTTGCATTGGTTTTTACAGCATTTTGTCTGTTTCTCGCTGTGTTAATGGTCCGTTTTTCTACCTTGTTTTCTCCTTTTTTTATTGTGGGGGTGGGTTTTGGGGGGTTGGGGGGGTGTTCGGGGGGGGCGTAATAACGTCCTGTCGCGTGCGTTTTACTTGACTCCGTTGTTTTGACGCTACGTTGTGAACTTTCTTCCTAGAACTTCAGACGCTCTTGATGCTACGTTGTCAACTTTCTTCCTAGAACTTCAGACGGTCTTGATGCTACGCTGTGAACTTTCTTCCTAGAACTTCAGACGCTCTTGATGGTACGTTGTGAACTTTCTTCCTAGAACTTCAGACGGTCTTGATGCTACGTTGTGAACTTTCTTCCTAGAGCTTCAGACGCTCTTGATGCTACGTTGTGAACTTTCTTCCTAGAACTTCAGACGGTCTTGATGCTACGTTGTGAACTTTCTTCCTAGAACTTCAGACACTCTTGATGCTACGTTGTGAACTTTCTTCCTAGAATTTCAGACGCTCTTGATGGTACGTTGTGAACTTTCTTCCTTGAACTTCAGACGGTCTTGATGGTACGTTGTGAACTTTCTTCCTAGATGGTGATGATGATGTTGGTGATGATGCACAAAAGATGAAAGGTGTCCTTAGTTGCGGGCAAAAAAAATAGAATATGTTGCTCGCAGTTCCACTGGTTTCTATCATGACAAGATTTTCCGCAATGGAACTGCGCATGAAACATGTGAAATCAAAGACTGTCCCTTAAACGCAGTGGAATTGCGTGATTCAAACAACATTGAATCATTGAAAATGCTATTTTACACCACGGCCGCCTATGAGCGGTGGACCTAGCTAGGTAGGTAGGTAGGTAGGTAGGTATAGTATGTAGCTATGTAGCTATGTAGCTATGTAGCTATGTAGCTATGTAGCTATGTAGGTATGTAGGTATGTATGTAGGTATGTTGGTATGTATGGTATGTAGGTAGGTAGGTAGGTAGGTAGGTAGGTCGGTAGGTATGTATGCATGCATGCATGCATGTATGTGTGTACGTGTGTACGTAGGTACGTAGGTACGTAGGTACGTAGGTACGTAGGTACGTAGGTATGTAGGTATGTAGGTATGTAGGTAGGTAGGTAGGTATGTATGTCTGTGTGTGTATGTATGTATGTATGTAGGTAGGTAGGTATGTAGGTAGGTGGGTATGTAGGTATGTATGTATATATGTATATCCACCACCACAGGGGCATCATACCCCCCCCATCCCATGGGGGGGGTGGGAACACGGGACACGGGACCATATATACGAATATAATATAGTAATATATATATATGAATATAGACAGCATAAGCAAGTTCAAAACCAACTTCTGGTTTGAGCCCCAATTGTTCCATCTCATTGTACTGCTTGGTTGATAGGTATGCCTATTGAGGGTTATCATGACCCCAGATAACCCAGGTAGTTGGTATGCTTAGATATTTCCCATCGTTTCTAGGTACTTGGAGGGTCTAGGCAGTTCAAATCCCAATCATTAACGGTTAAATCCGTTAACATACCATTAAATTTCATTTAAACTTACCCTCTGGTTATTTAACATAGCCATGGAAAATGGCCCATAGAAATAGATGGTTTAACTATTGAGAGCATGGTGTTTTTCCATGGCATTAAAAAAAAACAGATGGTAGATGCGTTGTTCAACTGTTCAATCATTGCATTAAAATCCATCATGGCGGCGATCTCGTCACTGATGTGTGGCAACGTGCCACTGGAGCTCTTCAGGTCGCGTGTCCAAACACGAGGATGGACAGCATTCTCGTTCAGGGCAAGGAACGCAGCCGCATCCGGCCCATTTTCGCAGGCGTTTATCGGGCGGACAGCTCATCACCGTTCCTGGTGAAGGTGCCGAACTCAGAGCTCCAGAGTGTGCGGCAAGTTGCCGGTGTCATCCTTTTTGAGCGTGGCAGGCGCATGCGGTGGCCCAATCCATCCCAATCAAAATATTCCAAAATCCTTCGAAAAACAGGTGATCGACCAACCAAAACATACCAAAACTACCCTCTGGTTATGTCAAAATAGCTATTGAAAATGGCCCAGTCGAAATCGTCGATTTTCCCATGAAAGAATGCCATGTTCATATTTTCAATAGCTATGTTAGTCATTACCAGAGGGTACGTCCCAAGCAAAACATACCAAGTCACATTGCTCCAGCAAGTCATCAAAGTCCAAGTAGTCTTCTGCCTCTGTGATCCAGTGAAAAACCACCGGAACGCGTATGATTCGGAAACCACCAAATGGGAAAGCACTTGGGAAAACCATAGGAAAACACGGGAAACCTATAGAAAAATATAGGAACGTGTTGGTTTAAGAGGATTTAACCAACGAAAAGGGTGATTTCATTTGATTCAATAGCCGATGTATGATAGCTAAGTCGGTGCAAACACTTAGGAGTATCATCCCTCTTAGTAAGTGGTTAGTAATCATATAAGCCTAGTTGTAATCCACTTAAACAGAGGATACCCTCTGGTAATTTAACATAGCTATGGAAGATCACTATTTTTTATGGGAAAATCCACTATAAATGGCCATTTTCAATAGCTATGTTAGTTTACCAGAGGATAACCCACGGGTTATTCAGACCTATCCAGGGTTAACCAGTTACCAGGACCTTTTTGGGATGTTCCTCCAAGTCGATGGGACTTACAACAGAGCACCTGGTACAAACGGAGGCTCGAGATGTAGAAATGGATAGAAATGGTGTAGCGAAATAAAATGTGTGTGTCATAAGTTTGAGGTGTGTGAAGTCTGACTATTTCATCTAAGCAGCACTAAAGACTTAATTTATGATTAGTTAATGATGTCTGGATAAGTTATGATACGAGCAAATGAAAGCCCTTAAGAAGTTTGGAGACTCATTTCTAGTAACGTTAAGACTTGAGGTCACAAACCTAGCTCAAACAAAGCTCTGTGATGGCGACAGCGTTCAGTAACTTGATTAAAGACATGGTTTGTGGATGAAAAACAGTTTCTTATCCTTATCTATCTGTGTGGCCAAAGACTGTTGCCCGTAGTATGTATGTATCCTTAAATATCCTGAAAAGATGTTTGAATAGAAATGCTATACCACTTAAAATACACCTAAATATATTCCTTATTGTTTTTGTTGCTGACATCCTGTTTCTTACTCGCCTTCCACGAAAAATATGTGGATATAGGTCAAAATTGGCCAATCCGAAAAAGGGATTGAGAATGCCAAACATATCAAGTATATAAATGAATGCATCCAGAGCACTATTGATCTCAAGAATGACTCATGTCACTACAACATCACAAGAGATTGCCTGAACATAGGGTACCCAAAAATGCCATGACCTATCCTCTTGTTCCACACTAAGATTGCAACTTTAGTCCCAAATGTTGATGCTAAAAAACATAAAGTTTTCTCCATTCAAGTCATCATTAGTGATGCCAAAAAATAAGACAAACCCAGTAAACGATCAAATTGTGAAGTTTGTCACATACCCCGTTCTATCCCCATTATATAATAGTATTAATTAGTATTATATCCACATATATTTCTGATGAATACCCCCCAACACAATAAGGACATCACCATCGCCAGGCGTCGGCTTTCAGCTTCTGATACTCCATTAGACCTGGTGAAAACATGTGAAAACCACCAGAGCTTCGTCTATGAAACATCGAAAGAACCGAAAAAAATTGGCTAATAATGGTAAATAATGGTTAATTAATATGGGTTAATACTGGTAAATGATCTGCAATGGGTTAATATCACATTATCTGGGTTCAGTATTATTTAAGGGTAAATATATAAGTTATAAAAGTATCTGTATCTGGAATATTATCAGGGTAAATTGTAATATTTCACTAACCTGAACTTGCGCCCATTTGGGGAGAATTCCCCATACACCATCATTGCAGTGAGGGAGAACAGTGAGGTTAAGTTATAATTTACCCATGTATATGTTGTTTCCCTTACAAAATCCCAAAGAAAGAACAACAGAATGAAACAACATACACGCATGATTAATTTCACAAAAATTCAACATCTGGATCTCGCCAACAGCGGGCACAAACCAACACAGGAACATCGCAAAATGGCGATTCACATTGAGCCGAACATTGGATACCCTCCGGAAATCACATGGCAATGCAACATATTCACATATTTACTGTCGGTAAATCATCTACAAATTGGACATTTGCATAGCTATGTTTGATGACCGGAAGGTAAATCCGTTGCAACCAAATAAAAACGATGAAGAGCTAAGATGAAGCCAAGACAATTTTCCGGTGATCAACTCGCTTTCTGATGCAAACCATTTCTGATGCGGGCCATAAACAGGCCAACTGGGACACAATCAGCTGCTCGAAAGCCAAATTCTCAAAGTGAACGGGAAAGCTTTGAATTCATAAGAGTGCAATTATGTTCAAGATCTGTTTGGTTGGTTTTCAACTCCTTTTTTCAAATGCGCATCCTGGATGGCGAAAAATTGCCATCTTTTTCGAGGGATTTCAGTAGTGGCATCCCATCCCCAGCACCCATGGGAAAACACCATGCCAGGCTGGAAAATTCACAGCCGATCTGCGTAGACATTAGCATATATAGATGGTTGATCCATGAATAAGAGTGGCAGCTTAACATCCAATCCCCAGCAAATCATATACATTCATATACAAGTATAAGGTTTAAAAATCCTTAAGATGTTGGTGACTTTCCTATCCACCGTGTTTCCCTTCTTAGAATTCTTCGCTTCAAGGTGCGATGGCTCGCGGGCCAGGTGACATGCTTCCACGTCCTCCGCCATGTCGTGATATTTCCAGAACTTCTGTAGCAAGACCTCTCGCAGCCTCGCCGAAAGGGGCAAACAAAATGGAGATGTCAAAAAAACAAAAAAACAACAGGAAACAAATACAACTATTGTTTATGACATCTTTATGATATAGTTATGATATATATTTATGATATATTTATGATATATTTATGAAATAGTTATGATATATCTATATATATATATACTGTAAATGATATTATATGATATATTTATGATATATGTATGATGTGATATATTTACGATATATTTATGATATATTTATATTTATGATAGATAACAATAAAAAACAAAAAACATGACAATGATAATGACAATAATAATAATGATAATAACAATAATAATGATAGTACTAATAATCAATAATAATAATAAAATAAAAATAAAAATAACAAAAATAATAATATTATAATTATATATATATGAGGCTCAATAGATCAATGGAATCTATGAAACAGTATTGTGTACAGTGAAAAACCTTCTTGGAAGGAAAAACAACTCTGCACGGAATGGAAAACCACAGCCTCATGTGACACTGGCAATCCAAGTGCTGCCTATGTAGCTGTAGTCCAAAAAAAAAAGGCATATATAAGGTTCAAATTGTGTAGCGATGGCAATTCAGTCTGCAGAAACACTCGAAACATCCCGTCTATGGGGTCACATCTGCCTGCTCCATGAATTTCCCATCCGTAGCGCAGTTCGTCCCGGAACAACTCGAGTATAGAAAAAATCACATGTGTAAAACGACTCTGTAGACTGGCACCACGCTACCTTACAACCCGAAAACCATGGTTTTTGACAAGTACCCTACATCCTACATGTTCAAATAAATGATTGGTCCTCACTGGAAAAACAACTAAAAACTTGAGTTTTGTGTTTTTTCATGTTTTTCCTTTTTTGAATGCCACCATTTTAGGCCTCATTAAATGACCGAAAAAATATTCGAAAATTTTCACTCGTTCCAAGGGTCGGTTGGCCAACACTCACAGCGTAGGAAAACATCTTCCTCAACTCCTGGGCCATCGACCATCGACCCCCTGGATCTTCCGCGGCGGATCAAAACTGAAGTTTTCTCCGGTCGCAAAAAAAAGGGTTCATCAGTTCCGGTCCTCTGTGACTGATATGATCTGATATGGATATATATATATATATACAGTATATCTATATCTATATATATATTATAATATATATATATATATCATGTTATATATATATTGATATTATACAGATAGCACCCCCAAAAGTTCGACACCTGAAAATTGTGGGGAACTGCTACTTGCCACCCCCTTTGGTTCAACCCTACAAATAGATTGAATTTTTGGGGATGTTCATTCCTCCCAAAAGATGGAGGAAAACAACGGTTTTGATCCATCACCAAATCAAACAATCCCCATCGATCCGACTTGAATTCTGTGCTTGTCATATCCGGTAGCTGGGAGATAGCATGCAGTGTGGAGAGAGAAGCAAATGCTTATGAATCTATGATTTAAAACCCATTGGCTCAGCCCCGTTCTGTTCATCAAAAATCAAAATAGGGGAAACTTCTGTGAATGACGACCCACGTGATATTTAAAAAAAAAAAACGTAGGTTTCGGCTCCCAAATAACTCGGTGGATTTACAGAGTAATCCAGTTGCGATGAATGGCCATCCAGCCATGGTGCCATTATTTTCATGTACATGGGGTATCCAACTTACCTGCTAGAAAACTACATCTATCAGTACTTTTATATGTTCTCTCTGTATATGTAATATTATATGTATTTATGTGAAAACATATGAAACATGTATAATATATGTATATATATATATATACATGTGTGTTGTTTGTCGTATAGTATACGCAGTCCCAACCGATTTCCGTAATTCATTGCGTTCCCTACCCCCAACGCAGCCAAAGGGGCAGCAGCGAGGGGAAGTTTCTGACGATCTTTGTTATCGAAGCCCAGCTTCTTTCGCGCACTTTCTGGGCGGAACAGTGGTTGAAGGGTGACTATCCTGCAAACGATGTTGATTCTGTTGGCAATAAACAACATACTCTTATTGTTGATGCGTTGATATGATGTTCAAACAACAAATAACACACAGAAATCTACATGTGTTAACAATAATTAATATCATATTATATACATTGCCAATCTTAGATACCCTGCATTTTGTTTGCTGGTTAGTAGATATTCCCATTAATACCAAAAGACTAAAGGATTAAAGTATCCATGTAAGATTGACCTAGTACATAGTGATATTATTTCAAACAAAATGAATTGGGTCTGGAATTGTTTTGGGAATTATGTGTTTTCCGTCTTCGATTTTTTTTTGGGATCTCCTGTCCTGTCCGTTTCCCTTGCTATTTGCAGCATTTTGGAGCTGGCAGCTGACATTTCAACTGTATTTTGCAACATTTTGGAGTGCGAACCTCTCATTTTACTTAGGAAAAAATGTGCAGCGTTTTGGTGCTCGAACTGTTCATGTCGCATGGTTTTTTGCGACTAGAGTTTAGGGTTGGTTTAGGCTTGGTTTATTTGGGGTTGGCTTCGGGTTGGTTTGGTTTTTGGTTAGATTGGTTTAGGTTATTTTGGGTTGGTTTAAGAGTTGGTTTAGGGTTGGCTTAGGGTTGGTTTAGGCTTTATTTAGGCTTTATTTAGGTCTGGTTTAAGGTCTATTTAGAGTCTGTTTAAGATCTATATATGTGTGATTAAGGTTTATTTAGGCTTGGTTTGAGATCTATATAGGGTAGGTTTAGGAGGGCAAAATTTCATTTAGGGTTTATATATATATATATATACTTATATATACATGTATACTTATATACTTAGGGCTTACTTAGAGTTATCTTAGTTTTTTGGTCATTCTGGGGTCTATTTAAGATTGGTTTAGGGTTTATTTATAGTGTTTCACCCAATGTTGGACAGACATTCCTGACACTTCGTCCAGATTCACCTCCAATGAAGTGAGCCCTATTCTGGACAGCAGTGGATCCCATTCCAATTTCAGGGTCTGCGATTCCGCACAAGTCCCAGAGATCTCAAGAGCGTAAACCGTTCGCTGCTCCGCCGAGGCAACCTTCTTGATTCTTGCGCTGAAATTACCAGTTTCTTGCTTCTTGGTGTTCTGTAGTACCAATTCACACCAAGAAAAACAATAAAATGAACAAGAGCTTTCCATTAAGAAGATTGGGCAAACATCAGCTGATGCGTGACCTCTCTCGAAACGGAAGCCTGCGATCTGATGAGAATAGACAAGGAATTGACGCCCTGGGTCACCTTTTTTTCCGTTTTGTTTTTTTTTTAAATCTGTTGTCTGTCCGTTTTCCTGGCTATTTGCAGCATTTTGGAGCTGGAAGCTGCTATTTCAACTGTCTTTGCAACATTTTGGAGTTGGAACTTATCATTTTCCACAGAATTTGCAGCATTTTGGTGGAATTTCTAACATTTTGGAGCTGGAAGCTGCCGTTTCAACAGTATTTGCAGCATTTTTTGAGTTCGAACCTTTCATTTTCGATGGAATTTGCAACATTTTGTTGATTGAACTTTTCATGTAACATGGTAGTTTGCAACTAGGGTTCATTTAGGATTGGTTTTAGGGTTAGTTTAAGTGTTTTGTTTGGTTTTAAGTTTTTTAAGGGTTGGTTTTAGAGTTAGGGTTTATTTAGGTTTTTTTTAGGATAGTTTAGGATTTGTTTAGGGTGTGTTTTAGGTTTTTATTTATATAGGCTCGGTTTAAGATCTATTTATGGCTGGTTCATGTTGGTTTGAAGTTTGTTGAGGGTTGGTTTAGGATCTATTTAGGCCTGGATTAAAATATATTTAGGTTGGTTTACGGTTTTTAGGCTTGGGCGAGCATCTATTTGGGGCTGGTTTAGGGTGTTTAGGGTTTATCCAGGTTTGGTTTAGGATCTATCTAGAGTTGATGTAGGATCTATTCAGGATTGGTTTGAGGTGTGTTTAGCGTTGGTTTAAGATTTATTTAGGTCTGGTTTAAGATCTATTTAGGGCTGGTGTAAGGTTTATTCATTATTCAGGATTAATTTCAATTTTATTTAGGGAGTGTTTAGGGTTTACTTAGCGCGTTGTTTTAGTGGTTCTTTGGTTGGTTCGGGGTTTATTTATGGTTGGTTTAGAGATTATTTCTATAGATTAATATATATGATGTTTGTGAAGGATTATAAATCTGGGGTATGAGAAACAAAAAAAAGAGGGAAAAGCAGAAAAGCAGAGAAGCAGAAAAACAGGTAAGCAAAGAAGCAGGGAAAAGCAGAAGCAAAGCAGCACAGAAGTTTGAAAAGCAGAAATGCAGGGAAAATCAGAAAAGCGGAGAAGCAGAGAGGCAGCACGAGGCAGAGAAGCAAAGAACTATAAAAGCAGAGAAGCAGGGAAAAGTAGAAAAGCAAAAAGCAGAAAAGCAAAGAGCAGGGGAAACAGAAATCCAAAAACTTGTTGAGAGGGTGGTCCATCAACGCCACAACGACCGGGGCATCAGATGCGACGTGAGCGAAGTTCAAGTAGTGCTTGGAAGACTCGGTCATGATCAGCAAAGTTAAAGAGCGGTCGGCCGAAGTGAAGTTCACCGCCCCAAGCTGGTGGACCGCGATGCCAACCATTGCGGCAACCGGCTTGGAGAGGGCGACCAGAAGCTCCATGGCAAGCTCCGCTGCGGCTGTGGGCCTTATAACATGTTATAGCCAATTAGCCAGTATTTCATTATATATACTGTGTGCATCCAGTTATAACTGGGCATTTCGAAACGCCACTGGAATAAGCCATCTTACGTACATGGGACCAGCACCACCTCAGTACTCAGGGGTTGAGGCACCCATCACCACATATAGAACTTCTAGAAATCTTTGAGTCACCACCAGCCAGGTAACAGAAGTTTTTGAACCATGAATCAGGTTTTTATGTCTGCACTGGGTCAAGACATTATTCGGATCCCCGATGAACCAGATAGTATAAGCCCAACAAACTAACCAATCAACCGGGCTATGACTTTATTGCGGAAAGAATCTAACAAGTTTCAAGATATGTTTTTTTTTTGTGTGTGTGTGTATCCTTATGAAACCCGTTTTTCTTTTTTTACCTGTTCAAACCCGTATAAATCATGGTCCCATCTCCATTTGAATCTCCCTAAATAATGATTGGTGTTTGTTTCATCCCTCTAAATCCTATTATAGTAATGCTCAAATCCATCATTTTATCCATCACCCAGATGAACCATGTATGGTATATTTACCTACAAAACTGGGTGATTTTTTTAGGGCAAATGTTGGTAAATATTCCAGCACCATGGAGCATCTGGGTCATGATCAACTCAATGCTCATCACACCGTGTCATGCTATCGTATAAAAAAGACCTGTGTAATTCACAATAATTTCAACCAGCCATATGGATTGATGGTTGGAGTCCCACCCAAATAAAAATTGTAAATTTTGGGGGGGATCCTATTGCTCTACCAACCTGTTGATGGCTTTAATATTATTAATATGTGGCATTATATGGCTAAGGCTGTTAAATATAAGCTAAATATATCATTCAAGACCTGTGAACAACCATATGGCTATGGGTCAGCATTAAAAACCAATGGTCGGCCATCCAATGAATCCAATGATATATTTGATTTTAGTTCATGTTTAGTATGAAAATGTATTAACATTGTATTAAAACATATTAAAACCATGAGGCTATGGGGTCCCCAAAAAAATGACCCGCTGCCGCTGCAAAAAAAAGCCAGGCCCAAGGCACGGATCATCTGCTTGGACTCGGCATCATCCAGGACCACCTGGGCCCACAAAGTTGGATGACTTGGAGGAGTTTACCCATATGGCTATGGATCAATACCTATAAATAGCATTTTTAGGGGGATGAACATCCATAAATCCCAGCTATTTTGATGTGAACAAAAAAGGGGTGCAAGGTTTTGACCCATCCCCAGATTTATGGAGATTTAATCTGGTTGGTGGTTGACCTGCCACTCTGAAAGGATTATTGAACATTACTAACCATTATTCACTATTAAACGTTGCTACTGACTATTATCAACTGGTTGGTGGTTAACCTACCACTCTGAAAAATATGAAAGTCAATGGGAAGGATGACATCCCACATTATGGAACATAAAAAAAAATGAGACCACCAACCAGCAATTGTTTAACTGTTTAACAATGGGATAATGTAATGGGTTTACCCACTTTTTAGAGGGGTTTACCCTCTGGTAAATGGTGATTTAACCACTATAAATGATGATTTAATGGAGATTTATTGTAATAGTTTAACTCTTTAACAATGGGATAATTATGGGTTTACCCGCTGGTAAATGGGTTTACCCTCTGGTAAATGGTGATTTAACCACTATAAATGGTGATTTAATGGAGATTTAATGGTTTAACTCTTTAACAATGGGATAATTATGGGTTTACCCTCTGGTAAATGGGTTTACCCTCTGGTAAATGGTGATTTGGCCACTATAAATGTTGATTTAATGGCGATCGAATGGAGATTTAATGGTTTAACTCTTGAACAATGGGATATATAATTATGGGTTTACCCTCTGGTAAATGGGTTTACCATCTGGTAAATGGTGATTTAACCACTATAAATGGTGATTTAATGGTGATCGACTGGTGATGTAGTGGTTTGGTGAATATTGGGATGATCATGGGATATGCCCTCTGGTAAACTAACAGTTTGCGAAATTGAAAATGACCATTGACAGTTCGTGGGTTTTCCCATTGATAGCATGGTGATTTTCCATAGTTTTTTGTATGTTTACCAGAGGGTAAGGAACCCAAACTGCTAGTCTTACTATGGTTTGAGTGGAAAAAATGATGAAACACTCGTGGTTTCAGCAGCAAAGTTGTCGAATCTTGTGGAATTTAGGTGAGTTTACCAATCAACACATGTGATACCCTCAAAAATCCTGAAAAGACTCTGGATTTGATTCAAGCATCAATGAAAAACAGCCCTGAAACCATCATTTTTTGCACCCCAGGCCCTGCCAGGCGAGTCACAAAATCCGATGGAAGATTCAAAGCTCTGCCGTGCCTTCGCAGCACCTGGGTTCCACCCCCACCCGTCTTTAAAAGGCCCAAGAGATACCCTAAAATATACCTGAAAGCAGCTGGTGAATGGATGGGTATTTCTCCAAATATAGATTTTTAATAGGTGTTGACATGTTTTGACCCATCTGCAGATGGGGCCACTGATGGCCACATGGGGCTAGCGAGTGCTGAGTTCTTCTTTTTCCAAAAATATCATATAGTATTTCATGGGAGTTTAGTTGATGAGGTTTACAAACAAACTTATAAGGGCGGGCATAGCATTGTGAATCCCTGTCGAAACCGTACTGGTGGTGGTTTTTTTGGGCCAAGGCAGACCGAGGGTTTCTCGCCATGGAGCACATAAACAGAGAAGTGGCACCTGGGTCCGCTTAGAAGATTGTAAAATAGACAAGATCGAACCCTGGAACGAATCACTTGATATATGCAGGTCTCATCTTAGTTGGGCATTAACTCTATCTATTGATGGCTAAAAACGAACCTGTTAATCTAACCAACCTTGGATGACCCACTTAGAAACAACCAAAGTTCACTTCGCCCACCACGATATGTTTGGATACTCAAATGCACAATCACATAATGTATATATATATATATGTATAAATGTAAAATCCATATGTTATATGTATATATATATATGTTATATGATGTTATATGTACATATGAATTGTGTATGATTCGATGCATCTTTGATGCTACAGATGTTGCACGGGAGTTTCCTCACTTTTGAACGTTTCGAAGCGGGAAAACAAAGAACCTTCAACAATTTCTACAAACATGAACGACTGGTCCCAGCCCCTGTTTTCTGGCTTTCTTTATGTTCTTTAGTTTTTACTTTTCCTTGTCTGAACCCCCATCTTGAAAACTTAATCGTGAAAATTATCCACCAATTAACAAAAAATAACACCAATCACCACCCCCCTCAGTTTTTTTGTTGATTTCTTGATCCACTGAACACCCCACACTTTTCCCCTTCGACCTGCCGAGACACGCGCGCGCAGAAGGAATGGAAGGTGCACGCTAACACGTCGCCTGCCCGGTCACCCACCAAGTCTTGGGCTCGTTGCTTCCTGACAAATCCCAGGCGGAAAGGTTGGGATTGACCAAGAAACAAAGGTGTTACAGTAATAAATTTTGGATAACTTTAACAATAGTTACTAGTGGTTAATAGTGGTTAATAGTTGCTTAATAATGGTTAATAGTGGTTAATAATGGGATGATATACTGGTTGGTGGTTAACCTACCCCTCTGCAAAAAATATGAAAGTCAGTTGGGATGATTATTCCCAATATATGGAAACATAGAAAATGTTCCAAACCACCAACCAGTGTATATATATATATGTATATGTATATTGTCACGTTAAGATATACTGGTAGATTTAATCGTGAATTGAGGTGAATGAAACATTCAGCAATAGAATTGACTTACTGGTGCTAAACGTATGGAATGGGGGAATAAAATGCTTGTCGTACTTATTATGGACCATTCACCCATTCCCTATGTTTAGCACCAGTGTGTTGTAAAGTTGTAACCTTTTATTGTTGGAAATATATCGGAACTTCAGTTGCAACCATACGTGACATTCACCAACATTGATATAGAAAAAAAGGATGTACAAGGTGGGATTCACCAAGAGTTATTAGGGATGAGTTGGTAAAGGATAGGGCTGGGGATATACAAACGGCCGACCTTTCCTTCAATGGCAATTAAAGGTGTATATATATATATATATACACTATATTTTTTTAGGACAAACCAGATGTAGTCGGCTGTATACTTATCTATACATATAATATATCATACATCCCATTATAGCAAATTGCATCCCCATAAATAGCTGGTTGGTGCAATAACCATCTTGAAAAATATGAGTTCGTCAATGGGTTTCGGATGACATCCCATATATGAAATGGAAAATAAAAGCCATGGTTGAAACCACCAACCAGAAATAGTTGGTGGTATACCATTCTCTTGGAAAACTGTATAACACTCTACTTTTCAGGGTATAGATTCCCATTGCGGCTGATCATATCCCCATGACTGCTGGGCAAATTTCCCACCCATTTTTGGACAAACCCAAGATTGTTGGTTGTATATCGCACCATGATCCACTATATCCACAATATATATATATATATGTATATATATCCACAATATATATATATACATATATATAATATATACATATATATATACATATATATACATATATATATATATATATATATATATATATATATATGGTCACCCCCCCCTCCAGGACCTACATTTTCAATTTTCTACTGGATCACCCGATCACCCCTCCAATTGCTTCTTCTAAATATCTCTAGATAATCTTTAATATCAAGTTGTATATTATATATATAACATACATATATGGATATAGATATGTGGTTCGCATTATCATCTCATTATTGCTGTAATATACCTTCATAATTGTTGATATGTGTTCTTGTTTGGATCCCATAATCCATAAAGTGTTCAAATTGTATCACCAGAAAGCATGCTCTAGAGCTAACCTTCCATTTTTTGAAATGATGCTTGAAGGTAAACCACCAGTACTCAAACATGTCTGGTTGCCATCGCAGTGCTCGATTACCGAGGGGTCAACTTGACAGAAATCCATCCATCGATTAGCTATTATCATTCATGAACATGACTAACCAGTATCATTAACCCATTATTAATCCTCGTTATTGACGACGAAATCAACCATATCAACCAAACAAATTCAGCGATGATGATTCATTATTGAACATTACTAACCATTATTATTCACTATTAAATGTTGTTACTGACTATTATCAACTGGTTGGTTTTTGCAACCATATTGAAAAAATAGTCAATGGGAAGGATTATCCCATATAATTATTAATATATATAATGGAAAATAAAACATGTTTGAAACCACCAACCAGTCAACCAGTACCATATATTCAGCCAGTGATTTTTCCCAGCTCCTTCAACCACTTCTCGGTCCAAGGAACATCTCTTCTGCCGCATTTTTGGTGAAGGTCAATAGCAGTACCTGCGCTGCATCGTCGTCCGGCTGGGGGGAAAAACCTATGATTTTCAATGGTTTAATGGTGATATAAATTTTGTAGGAAACATCGGGATGGGATTATGTATATATAATATATATATATATGGGATTTACATGGAAAATGCCATGACAACGGTGACGGATCTCGCTCAGGTAAACTGACATTAATTGGGCAATTTATACATGATTTACTTATCCAAAATGGTGATTTTTCATAGCTATGTTAGCATACCGGAGGGTACATGAATTGGTTCATCAGTGAAACCGTACCTGTACGTACTGTCTTCATTTCATCTATTGATTTTGATCCATTTCCAAGTTTATCCATGGGTACAAACACATGGATAGATCCCGGTACCCTCCGGAAGCATAGCAATGTCTTCCCGGAGTCTTCCCAGAAAATAAACCTCCATTTAGTTCGGAGTTTCCCAGCTTGCCACGTTTGATGACACCAGAGGGTATTCATAGGAGCAAACTGCGAACCTATAAAAAGTGCCAACTGCGAACCTATAAAAAGAAACAACCTTAGCCCAGTCCACAGCTTGTGATAGCGGCTACCCTCTGCTAGGCAAACCCGTTGCATCGGAGAATCATCATCAGGCCATAGGAAAATCAGCTGTACATGAATGCGAAAAGGTAACAATCCGCACTTGTGGTAAACCCCATACATCCCCATACTCAAATTTGAAGAAGGTTTCCCCAATAAGAATTGTGATTTGCGTGGACTGCCCGTTGTTATGTTTCTTCAGGCTACCCCTAAGAAGCACTGTCAAACAAGGTCGGCCGAACGGATGGAACGATCTGCAATGGGATCCACAAGGCTTTGAACATACCCAGCGTATGTTACCCTCTGGTAATGACTAACATAGCTATTGAAAATGGCCATTTATAGTGGATTTACCCATTGAAAATGGTGATTTTCCATAGCTATGTTAGTTTACCAGAGGGTATCATCTTTATGGTTCACATGACGAACATTATCCTCCGGAAATTTCACACTTCGCCAGAAACCATGGCCGAAAAACCAGCCGGGTGACTTTCCATAGTTTGGTGCTGCAAATCAGCGATTTTTATTCATGGAAAAAATCCCCAGTTTCTATCAGAGGTATTGTGCCATCAGCTGACTAAACGGGATGGACTAAAAATAAAAAGCGACTGAGTATCACAAAATCGATTGCTTTCTCTGACTTATCATTGTTGGCCACTGAACTTGCCACTTTGCCCCCCCAAAGTAAAGTGGCTTTAGTGTTGAATCTTGAAACAACATTACTTTAGTGCTTTAGTGTTGAATCATGTTGAATCTGTGAAAAGAAAAACATCGTCATGTTGGTGAAAAGCGTTTCTTGGCCCATGATCAACGCCGAACTTGGGATTTACATCCCCAGATTACCCTTGCCTTCGACGGATCTACACCCTCCTCGGCGGCAAGGTGAAGAAATTTCATGGGGATATTCCGAAATGGGATCTCCGATGGGACACATACAGTATCAATTTGATATGTTGGTGTGTCTATACACTCTCAAGTTGTGGCAATTTTAATGAACCAATGGTTGTAAATGGTGATAAGCACTGGAATTTAGAGTACCTATACCCAATTTGCAGACAGACCCATTTGGTTGGTGAACTGCAAGTGTTGTGTCTATGCCGTTCTTTTACCTCGGGCGAGAAACGATATCTGTGCATGTTACCCTCCGACAACCCCGAACTGACTTGGCATCTATGGGAAAAAAACATCGAAGTATTGGCTGAAGTTTTTCCGGCCTGCGCAATGTTTCATGACACCTGAGGGCATGTTATAGTTATATCTATAGTTGGTGTATAACATCTCTATAGTCGGCAAACTATCGTTATACAACTAGATATTTACAGATTGTACAACTATAAATCTATAGTCATATATATATAGATCTATAAATATCTACAGATATCTATAGTATATTAACGTTATACAACTGTTGTAAAACTATATACTACAGATCTATAGGACATATCTATAGTTGGTCAACCAACCGAAGCTAACGAAGCTCGGTGAGTTTCCAGGGTCCTTCACCAGCCAGGCCAGGCGTTCGGTGAGGACCGTCGTTTTGCCACCTCGCTGCGTTTCCGAATGGGGTTATTTCATGTTGTTTCACGAATAGTACTGGAATATGTTTCTGTATGTTTATGTATATCTATATATACAGATAATAATGTATATAGTGTATATTTATGTATGTATATATGTGTATATATGTATATATATATTATATTTGAAATATCAAGAGTGGTTACCTGGTTTTAACATGCTGGGAGGAGGCTTGGAACTGGTGCAAAACCCTGGTTAATGAGTCCCGGAACGGGTTATCCCATGCAAATAAATGATTCATGCGACAATCATGGGGAAAAATGAAGACATATATATATATATAACATTATATAACTAGTACAAACGACCTGGTAAACATATATGATCTCATTGTCATTGGTGTGGTCATTGATTTTTGAGGCTGAGACTCACTGAGTCACAGGAGTTAATATACTACTTACTGGTGCGTGCTAAACGTAGGGTTGCTGGATGGGTTGCTGGGAGAATGGGATGATTCTCCCGAAAATTCGCCTGTGGATGATTCCCATTATTATAAATGGGATGATTACTAGTGGGATAATATGATGATTACTAGTGATTTACTAATGATGACTGGGATCATTCCCGAAAATTCCCGAATCGTAAAACGCACAAGAGTAAGACGACTATTGTTCACTATCTTATGTCTCCGGATGAACACATTTGTTCGTTCACAGGATCTACCAAGATTCACAATGGGGAGTTAACCAATGTAGTACTGGATAATATTGTAAATATTGGAGTTTTACCAACCCTGGAACTAAGGATAAAATAAACGCTGCTATGAGTGAAACAAGACTTCAAACATATTATACCTTTGCTGGGCTTCGCTGGCGAGAACGCTAAAAATGGTGCAACTTTGCCGAACAGCTCACTGTTGGCGTAATGGTGTTGAAGTAACTATATAGTTAGATGGGAATATAATCCAACTTAGCTTATGCTATCATACATCAGGCATATCAACAAAAAATGACATAAATTGGCATTTGTTTTTTCAATTGTTCATGTTTACTGCCTATGAACCAACTACCGTGACCTTGTAATTAAGATGATTCCACTCGGCATTACTTGCATAGAGTTGACTTTGGGGTCCCAAGAATCGTAAGTGGGTCATAATCATATAAAATATCGCAGTCATAGATGGAATATCAGCAATGATATAGGCAATTATCAATATATAAGCCCATCCGCCAGGCATATTAGACACGTTTGACACAGAGCCAAAACACACGCAATAATTTCAATATCAAATCAGGGCTTTTGTTTGGAGGATAAAGGTACATTAGTGGACTTGCAACCTGATATTCACGTTAACATGTACATCAACTTCACCGGTTGACAAATGCAAACATGTATTACGGAACTAAATGTCTATGTTGCCATCAACATTACATAAGTTTCGATAGGATTATATGCCTAGACGACCATTTGTCATGGAAAAAAGAACTACGAATTGAAAACCTGACGATCTATGAAATTCAGATACGGTTCCCCAAAAAGTTGACGACCACCAAAAAAGTTGACGATTTATTGTCACATCACCACATTCCAATCCAATCCAACCCAATCCAATCCCTTTTCAACTGCTCCGACCCACAGCCAGCGATACGTTTGTTGCACATCGGCAACCAGCTCTTTTGGAGGTCCGGGCTCCAAGCTTTGCCAGGGAAAGAGGTGAGGCCCTGAAGAACCATTAGTTGTGAACTAGGAATGCCTTTTTTTTTCCAAATTATTCAACATCAAAAAATTCAATCAGCTCCCAGGGGCCTCCAGCTCCCAGGGGCCTCCCCTTTGTAGGCATCCCCAAACATTGAAATCCACTGCCTTCGGTAAAGCCCCAAGCAACGGTCTATGGTTCGGGTGGCACAAGTTACTGGGTGACACCGTCGTGAAACACGACTTACACGTCCAATGAAGTCTTCGTCGCTCCATGTCATATGAACACATGGATTGAGTAGGAATTCCACCTGCTCATCTTCAAGTTGAATCATCAAGTCTCGCCTTAGTTAAATTTGCATATGCCACCATCATTGCAGCCACAAACCGGTGTTATCTAATTAACACATATCAAGATATAAACATCATTGTGAATCATTGTTGCTTGTTGCATCTTGTTGCTATCATTTTCAGCTGGGCTACACTATGTGGCCAAGCATGTGGAATTTTGGTCTGATCTGGAAGCCATAGAACCCCTTTCTCGAAGATAGGGTTGCCAATGCTCCGTATCCATCCTTATCACTCAGAAGCGTTGGATAAAGAAAGAAATTCCCAATATTCCCAAGGGTACTCATATTGAAATCGGGGCCAAACAAAATTTGTTGCATGGAGAAGCTAAGTGTCAGTCATTTGCCATCCATCATTCACAAGTTTGGTGCCCACTTTCCTTGGAATCCAAACACCATACCTGTAAAGAGTCCGCCAGAACCGGTCACTTGCAGATGCCGTGTATCGGATGACAGATAGGATGTCCTTGAAGTCGTCATCCTAAGGGGACACTTTGGAAATGTTGAACACAAAATCTTAGGCCCCAAAGGTTTGAAAAAAGGTACACCATCCTACACAACTAAAAATGTATTCTGATAGTGCTTGCAAAAAACTGCTGAGTCCAGGTTGATTATGTTCACTTCTTGGGCCAACCAAGCCCCCACCACTGCTGCATCATAGCCCTTTCCCAATCCTCGCGGGTATTTGTTGAGCCTCGTTGGATTTAAAGAGATGGAAGTATGCTTGGAAATTCTTAAATTCACGGGGTGATCTTTACCCAACGTAATCTATATTTTTTGAAAGGGTTGAAATCCCAAATCCGGAAAATATTGTAAGAGGTGACTAGGCGCGAGTTTTGTGGGAGCTTGAAGGTGTTGTACCCAAATTCTGTGATGCTGGTGTTCTTATTGTACGCGTTGCAGTATGCCAAGAAGCTTGCATATGCGTTTTGGAAACAGTGAGGGACACTTCCATTCCCAAAGTGCCCTGTCCTGATCATCATTATGATACAGCTGGCCAAGAAATCTTTGCCCACCCCATCGATAGCAAAAGTATGGGCAGGATCAATCCTGATGTACTTTGTAGCATCACCAGTGGGTAAGTCTCGGAGGGGGCTCCGGGTACCAACCTTGAAAGCTGCAGGGTTGGTAGCATCACCTGGCAAGGTCTTCAATGTGTCCTTCACGTTCCACCATTCCTTGGAAGAAGCGGAGAGGAGCTGCCAAGTGATGTGGCCATTGTTTGGGGGATTGTGTGCTCTAGCCATTTTTTTGGAATTCAAAATTTGTTAAATTGAAATCCCAGAGTGTCTCTGATGTCACACCTGTGGCATTTGTCTGTGCAGTTAAATCCACATGCTAAGGAAAATCCTGCACGTAGCCATGGCCAATCTCCTTTGCAGCCTGTATAAATCAGCCGGAAGAAATGTCGCTTTCCATTGCAAATAGCCTGGGTTCTGTAATACAGTTTGTGGGTGCAGTGGTGCTCCCTCTATTTTTCAAAGTGTTCAACATTTCCCCATTCTTCCAATGGCGCTTCCCTTCCCAAACAGCCCTGGTCAGAAGCCAACATATCCCCCTACATCTGATGATGTTTGTGGATTCTTTATATTAAAATAAAACGTATAACGTATATATTTTATATGCCCATAAGGAACCACAAATCCATCTTTGTCCAGCGATTCCAAATCCTTTGTCAGGACCGACAGAAGATGGTGGAAGCTCTTCGTCGAGTATGGAGAAGGCAGCACTGTGTAGAGCAGCCGGGTGCAAAAAGTTGGCCTTGGTAGGATGCATGTTTGAGGGATATAATATGATGAGTTTGGGTTTTGACTCTATATTAAAAAACATCACAGAATATGGAAAAGTAACCATTCTTTCCAGGTACCCCTGCATGTTTGTTTTTCCATCATTCAGTGGTAGCAAAGGCTGCACACTCATTACCAAAATGGGTTGCTTGGCACGGCCTCTACCCTCATCACCATGTAAAGCTATTGGAATACAATGCTCATAGCAGCTTTCAGAGTTGTCACGGAAAAATGGAAAAGTCGGGTCGATCTTCCTGTAGTTCCGCCAGAAGCGGTCTAGTTCTCCCCGAAATGCTTTGGCGTTGTCATCCAAAGTATTGCCACCCAAAAAAAAATGGCCACCATGACGAAAAATGCAATCCACCCAATCCCGAATGCGAAGCACAGGGTAGTTTGTTGGAATGAGATGCACTCTCCTCCGTGAAGTTCGGACCCACAAACGTACAGTGCTGACTTTCACCGGTAATTGTTTCCCAGTTTTGTGAATCACCTGGTGCAATCTCCCACATGCATGCGAGTCCCTCTTCGATTTCCCACAGCGGGCAATTTTTCTCAGAGTTGTATCCGTGATACCTCAGTCAGCAATGAACATGTTGGCTATAAATTTGTGAGCTTCGACACATGTAATTCAGAAGCATTGGATAGAACTTTAACCGCTTCGGCAAGATACCTTTTTTTCGAAGCTTGTTGTTGGCCACAGTTGCAAGTCTCACTATGCTAGCGGCTGTTTGAGCCTGGGTTGAGCAAATCAGTGTGACAGTGTGGACAATATTGAACAATATTTGCATTTAATAGGTGTAACTTTAAAAGATGGTGTCATGTTGACAGCAGGCCACCAGCCACCTGTAAATATATGCTGACCAGGAACACCTTCCTCCAGTCCGCACAATAGCTCATCTGCCAGGTCGCTGTCGTCGTCATTCTCTTCATCTGTGAGCAGGCAAGGAATGGCTTTAGGTTTTTGACTGGCATGGTAATGGCATCGACCGGGATTCTAAGATGGGCCACTTCAAAAATCAACCGGCCTTCCAGTAGTCGAGAAGTCACTAAATCATCTCGGGAATGACCTGCGAAGGGGAACACAACATGTAGTTAGCATCAAATCTGTTGACCACAACCATAGCAATATTTCCCAGCTTGGAGCAGTTCGGCGACTGTAAAGGCAAAGCATATCAAAGCGTATCTTTTTTGTCTACCCCGAACTCACGTAGAGGGAAACCCAGCAGCCCTAGGAAGCTGAAACACAGCATGAGCGGAGCAACGGAATGATTCCTGGTTACATTCAGCTCCACCTTTCCAAGTAGCAACTTCTAGCTGCATGGGGGCATGCCGCAAGCATTGCCTGTAGAAAACTCAAAAGTCGAGGTTTTCCCCGGACTAACATCAGATCCATCAAGTTTGATGGCCCCTAATCCTTCTTGACCTTTCGGGTCTTTACCTTAGCCTTAGCTTCAGCGGTCGCAGGCTTGGGCTTGTTCGGCTTGCCAGAACTCGAAGAAGCTGCCTTCAAGGTCCTGGCATTGGAAAGGGCTGGAAAATGATGGAAGCATTTAGGGCTGGAAAGGTGAAAATTGTTTGCAAAAGTAATCTCTTTTTTTCACTTGCTTGGGTCCTAGCTCGAACCACCAAATTGTTGAGAGCAACATCCGTCTTGGTGCATTGGGCACATAGCTTGAGAATTGCCTGCTGGGTCTCTGGCCTGACGAGTTCCATGGATCATGTGTGAGGTATATGAGAATTTAATTCAAACAATGGTCAAGCTAGCATCATCTTACTTAGAAAGACCCATGGCGCCTAGCTGAGCGAGTCACAGCACATTCCGCTTGCAAATCCTCCAGCTTTTGGTAGATGTCCTGCATGTAGTTGACCTGGATTTGGATTTGCTTGGCATGCCTCGGATGGACGTCAATTCACGATGTATTTGAAATTGACAAAGGGTGGAAGTCCTCAGAAGAAACATGAATAATCTTTGCATGAGTGCACACTAGGCCCTAAACTCAGTGGCTTGGTTCGTCTTCAAACCGGAAAGCTTGTCCTGCCACGGGCGCAGATAAAAATAGATAAAGAACCAAAGGACGAAGCTAAAGTTGAATCATGATGACCCAGCTGTTTATATAATCACAGTAAATAGGCATCAGAAAAAACGGTCCAGAACACCCGTGGTATTGTCGATCTTTCGGCCACATACTTGGAGAAACTGTAGCAGCACACTGACAGCGCTAGCATTTTCCTGGATGCTAGGGAAGCACAGCCTTGGCCGTGAGCACCCAGAAGGATTGTATCGTATTTTTTGAAACGTACCACCTTGCAGCATTTCATGATTTCGTGGAACAAAACATGGCCAAAAATTGGGCCAAAGAGCTTGAAAGAGCCTGAGTTGGCAGCAGCCTGATCGCCAGGCGTGTTGCCTTCAGCATCTTCATCAAAATGCCCAAGCACCTGGAGGCCTGAACCCTGGGGCAGCTCGTCAGCCAAGAAGCCACCATCGGCATCCTAGGCCAATTGGAAAGTCACAAAGATGATGTGTAAAGAGTCACATGGAATCAAACCGAAATTATTGGAAGGTCTAGATTGATGTCAATAAGAAAACAAAAGGACATGGCGCCCTGAATCATTTGCCATGACTCTTCAATTTCCATCCTCTGAGACTGTTCTGTACTTTGCTCATGCGTTTCATCGAACGAGAAGGCTTCGTCCAACAGAAGCTTCGCTTCTTGTTCACCGTGAATTTGACTGGTTCGCAACAAGTTGTGACGTGAGGCATATTCAAACCCGTTATCAGCCATTTTCCTGAGCAAGTTTGGAACTGTCATGGCCCCAAAAGGTATGATAATGTTGATGGAGAAAATGTGATTTAACTAAGAGATTGTCCGTGTCCAACCCATGGTGTTCACGAGGTAGTGCTTTGTTACCCACCTACCTTCCTTGCGCCGGCCAAATCTGGTCTTGGAGGTGCGCTTCAACTCCAGCTCCACATTTGCAAAGTCCATGTTGTTGGCCAACATCAGGCTTCTCAGCTTGCCACCTGGGCCGGGCAGGGAACAAACGCATTATATAAATTAGAAAATCAGAATCGTAAGTGGGTGATGGGGTGGGGTCAAGAATCCATCATGAATCCATCATAACCCATCATTGTTCAACATGTAACCCATAAACGAGAAGACTGCAAATCATAGATAGGCTTCATAAGTCGAGGTACGTCCCTCGGGTGTCTTCCACAAATCCAAAGCAGCTTTGGAACATGTGTCCTTCTTCAGCACGCACTGACGTCGAATCCTTACATGGGGCGCATGCCCAACATATGGGGAACTGTGAACAGTTACAGACTTGATGCGAGAAATTCCAAAAGGTTGCTACGGTAAGCAAGATTTAAGCTGAAGAACTTCCAAAACAAAGCATCCTTTGTTTTCCCATTCTCCTTTTCCTTCACCATGACTTCGGCTCTTGCTCCGGGATTCGCAGGAGGATCTTCTTCAGACCCAGCATGGACCGAGGCATCGGGAGAGCCAGGGGCAGGGGTGTCAACTTTGGTATCGGGTAGTAGGCACTCAGGTTCGCCAAAATCTCTAGGTGTTCCATGGCACCAAGGGGACCATGGTGGAATCTGAGCATCATTTTTGGGGGAAGACGAAGCAATGCTAAGAGCTGACTTTGGGATACGTTTCTTGACATTCTCCACTGGCGCTCCTGCCACAAACTTGCCAGTGCTGTGGGCGAGAACCGGAGCACCTGGAACCAACAACATACAAATTGAATTCTGTGTTGCATTGCTGCCACATCCAGGTTTTGAATCAATCAAAAGAATATGCATGGTATCAAACAACTTGAAACGCCAAACGCCTTCAACAAGTGGTGGTGTGTCCACGTGATCACACTCACGGAGATTTTCCCTCAACTTGAGCAGTTTTTCTTCTTGGGCCTGCCAGATGCTTTTGATGAGAAGGGCATGGGAACTCTTTGTAATTAGACTGAAACAGCAACATATAGTTTGGAGATGTATATGTACGTATTTGTGTAAGTGTGTGTGTGTATGTGTGTTAGCAAGACTCAGGAGCCTTGATAAGAGCATCGAGGTCCATGTTCTCCTTCTTCGATCCATCATGGTTTATTCCTAACATTTCGGTACCTTCCACTAAAGTCTTGCAAGATGCAAGCTGCTGGTCGGACATACCACCTACAACCCCTGACAAGCCAAAGTTGCTGCGCCCAGTGGACGTGTCAAGCCAGGAACCTATTGGCAAAGGATATACAGGGAGCAAAACCCCGAAAACACCAACAAAATTCTAGCATATCCGATGTAAACAACTCCGAACAGCTCCGAACTGCTCCGAACTCCGAAAGTGGACCCAAAAACCTCCGAATTTTGAAGTCATTAGTAGTAAAAACAATACGTAAATTCAATTTCTTGACGCTTTTCGGAGGCAATTGTACTACTTTTTGAAATTGCTGTCGAGTTGCGCAAAATTGCTGTCGAATTGCGCAAAATTGCTGTCGAGTTGCGCCCACTATTTCCCCCAGATTCGGCTGCGAACGGTGTCCGAACTGAAAAGTGTACGAATTACGTTCGAAATTGTTCCGAATCCACCTAATTGTTGCAGAAACATCGTGATACATGCTATCACTTGTGCGCTTCTACCTTAGATAAGGCAGGAAATTGGGATATGAATTCAACCATAGTCAACCCACAAACACAACCTAAGTCAAACTGCTGACTAGTTGCCAAGTCCTTGTGGAACTTGGACATGATTGGTCGAAATTCGTCGGGGATCCTGCGCAGGCCAGCTGTGCAGTGGCTGGGCAACGCCGGGCCACCCAGTGAAAGCACACCAACAAAGGTAGACATGGATTAGAAATTGGAATGGAATGGGGATGAATGGGGTATATGATGGTATATGTGTGTTTGAACGTGTATTTTTGAATTTCTTGGGAGCCCACCATTTCAAAAGATATGGAAAGCAATTTTTCCTTCAACTGTCTTGGGAATCGAGACTTGTCTTTACAGGATATATAGGTTGGCCATCAATTTGGTTCCCAATGGATACCAGTTTTGAAATGTTGATCATTTAAAAGTTTAGCCCATGCGAATCATGAATTGGGACAGCTTCAAACAAACCCAAAAAACAGTCCTTGTATGCCGACAAAAATACAAATATTGAAAGACTGGAAGGAGGCAGGCATCCTTCCAGACATCTCCCATTGGTAGTTCGTCAAACAGCTGCACGGCTGTTTTTTCCATGGACGGTGTTAAATTTACTCGCAAAGAACCGACAACTGGGCGACTGAGCTCTTGCATGTAAAGTTGATGCACGGCATCTCCAAGTTGAGAGGGGTATTGCCTAAGATCGCAAGTCCAAAGGTTAAAACCACATATTTCACCGGGGAAAGCCTTGAATTTTCTTGAATATTCTTGAAGCATAACTTGAAAGATGACTGTACAGTAATTCTGTAAAGGCTAGGGGCTGAGTTCGCTTCAAAGCCTCTTTGTCACCAACAAATCTACGTTGTCCAGACTTGTCAAGGTACTTTCCTTAGGTCAAGTGCGGATGGTTGGAGCGAACAGTAAGATATATGGCATAGCCAAATCAAATAATGAATAAAAGTTCCTGGTCCATCATTCCCAAACATGTTCAGTGGAGGTTCGGGTGGTTTTCACCGAAGTTTTGGATTGCCGTTCACTTTGTGTCATTCTACCCTTGTCGAGATCCCTCATAGTTGAAAGGTTTCCCCAGAACACACTCCGCTTGCTGCTCGTTCCACCGTGGTGTAGCATCCAAAATCGCACATAGAAAACCTGGGCTTGCAGGTGTGCTTTCAAGAGGGTACATAACGTGATGTTACATGACCTGGAACAAGAAGCTATCGTCAAAATAGCAACCAAGAAACCCATGCAACCCGGTTGCAGAACCATTCAAATCGTGGGTGTCGGAAAAGAAGACTTTGGGATGGTTGTTCCAATAGGAACAGGCAATTTTGGCATAATACCAGAAGAAGGCAAAGGGACAGCCTCAGGTTCGAACATCTACATATAAGTAAAGATCGAATAAACATATAAACGCTTACTCGAATGTCATTTTCCAGGGCAGCCTAGGTTCCGACTTATCATGAGATTGGCTCGGGAGACAAACTGGTAGAATTCATGTCCAAGAGGGCAAATGTATGAGCGTCCTGGGGATGCCCCAGGATCCACAATCCGGAGCCCACAAGCTCAGGCCCCGGTCCACCAGATTCAAGATGCTGTACAGTGACAGCCTCAGCCAACAAGGTGCGGTGAGGATCTGGAAGGATATGGCGGGATCGCCAAATCGATGGAGTTAGTGGATATGGATTTCAAAATCAATTCAAGATACAGAAAGCCACTCACCGAGAGAAAGTCCATATGGTGCTGGCTGTACTCATAATCGATGCTGGCAACTCGATGACCCAAAGTATGCCTTACATAGGGTTTTCACTTGAAGGAACAAGATTCGACATGATGATGCCTGTCATTTGTTTGAAGCACTAATGTTTAGCAAAGTACATTCTTCTGGAAACCTGTCCAGCTCCTGAGAAAACTTCCAGAAAGGTAAAGGACCCGCTATGCTCCACAGCCTCGTTCCAATTAAGGAGCAAAACCTAGGATCGGGCGTTTGTTCTCCAGGTCCATGGATGTGGTATCAAGATGTATCAAGCCTTTGTTTATCTTTGTTTGCACCAATCAAAATCATTTTCCTGAGGAGAAGGCCACTGCTAAAAAAGCCTGCCGACAACACCCATATCACTTGGATTCAAGTAATAAGGAATTGATATGACCAAACAATCAGCATTAAAATGTTACCCATGTATGAGCTTCTAGTGATATGTTTTAACCCAGCCTTCGGGGCTTGGCATTGGATCAGCGAAATGATCAAGTCCCGGGTAGAACGCGCCATCCAATTTTTTGGGGATGGGCCCTTCGAGGTTTTGAGTTTCTAGCCAAAAGCTGTCCAAAAATCACAAGCTGTTTCTCAACTTGGATAAAAGGTGAAAACAACCACACGATATGCACTGGTTGCATGCAGAGGGGGATCGCACCGGCTAGGCTTGCCTGGACTCTCCAGCCAAGCGGTTCAGGAGGCATGCAGCCTATCAGAGCGGGAGGGGAGCGAAGTGATCTATGTTATTTTTTCGTGCCACCACATGACATTATATTGTGCACATTCTGGACACTTTTTTCCGTACATGCCCGAAGCACAAAGTTTGATGGATACCATCTCACATCTCACCATATCATCAACATCCACATGTTGTACTTTAAGCAGCACTGTGGCATGCTCAAGTCACGTGGCCCCAAAACCAAAGTGGTTGAAGCTAGCACTTTCGGAAAGCAAGATGTTTGAAGAAATAAAAATGTTTAATTTAGAGAATTTGTATTGAACAAATCTAGCTTCAAAGTACCCCGTATCACCGCTCTTGCTGGCTGAACTCTTCAGTTGCAGGCTGCATAGGCCTTGGCTGTATCGATTTGGAATGGGACACAAAAACATTTTTTCCTTTGGAAATCCTACGGCTGTGAAAAACACACGGCATGGGAACATTGCAATGCAAAACATAATATTAGTCGTGTTGCAAGCTTTGCTGCCTTGACAGCTTCTTCCTCTGTCTTTCCTTCATTCCTTGCCTGGGCCCTTGCTTTCTTGTATGCACATGACTTTCGCGACAGCTGGGCTTTTCTCTCTGCCTGTGCGTTGTCATGCTCATCTCTGATTGGTTTCTTGTCATGGGTGCTGGTGCGCTTCTTGCTTGCAGATTTCTTTGGTTTCTCTGCTGCGGGCGGGTCTGCAAAAACCTCCTTGCTCTTTCCCTTTGCCTTCCTAGAATGCTTTGTCTTGGTGGCTGGTGTGCCTTTGCTCTCCGCTTTCACAGGTTCGGAAACTTGCTTTCTGAAGTCTTTGGAACCCTTTCCTTTCTGAGCATCAGTATCCCTTCCATCCTCGAATCCCTCTTTGCTTTTGCTGGCTGCCCGTTTGGATGCTGCCTTCTTGTGTGATCTTTTTTTACGGGTAGCTGCTGGCTTTTCCTGGTCAACCTCCGTCTCCTTGTCATCCTTGGTGTCATTCTTGCAGTTTGGATTCTTTGAAGTTTTTGCCTTGCTTGGCTTGGAAGTGCTGTGGGTAGGGGCTCGGCTGCTGCTGCTGCTGGGTAAGAAGCCAACGTCCTCCTCGCCATTTGCTGCTGGATCCTCATTGTCCTCCTCTTCTAGGCCTTGTAAGTTGTGTTCTGGGTACCAATCAGTTTCTTCTTCCTCATCCGTGCTTTGAGCAACTTGGTTTGCCTTCCTCTTCCTGGATACCGTTGCTTTGGCAGCCTTACCTCTGGCCTTTGCTTTTGCCTTTGGCTTGGGGGATGCCTTTGCTTTGGCTTTGCTATTGCAGGTCGCAGTCGCCTTGGCTTTGGCTTTGCATTTGGGTGCTGCCTTTGCTCTGGACTTGGGTTTGCTAGATCTAGTGGGAGGGCGTCCTCTCCACTTTGGGTTTGCTGCATTCACTGTTGCGTTCTGCTCTGCAGGGGACATGCTATCGGTGGTTTCGACAAGTTTTTCAACAGGATCTTTGGCCAAAGTTGTGGCCTCTTTGGGGTTGGGATCCGTGGGAGTTGTCACAGTGCCTTTCTTGCTTGACTTTGCTTCATGCTTTGCTGCTTCTTTGGTGTCTGCATCTGTACCTAGATACTGCGTGGTGCTCCCATCTTGCTGACGCTGATACTGAGTCCTCAAAACATCCGCTGACTTGTCGCCATCCGTAGGTGGTGGAGGGGACGTCTTCTCAGCCTACCAGAAAAAAAACGAACAGTAAATCAAAGGAAACTTTCGCAAACATCATGGGCAGCTGATTCAAAACAAAGAAATTAGCGAATGTTCTTTTACAATTTTGTTTGATCAGGTTGCTTTGGCTTGCATTCCTTTTTAATGCATGTGTATGAAAATTCAAAAGGCCTCAACAGCTGCCAGCTTGGAAAACTCATCGTCACCCAAAGGCAAAGTGTCATGGACCTCTTCGCCTCAATTCCATATTGACCAGAAGAAATGGTCACATAAGTTGTTGTGCGCAAATACACCGACACAAAAAAGTGACACTGTATGTGTTCACACATATATACAAATCCAGCTGAGAAACGATGATTCAACTTATTTTTTTGCTCCAACAGCTTTGCCAGTTGTTCCCGTTCTTCTTGTAGCTGCTTCAACAACTTCAACCTCCTCAGTTCCTTTACCTCCTCGGTGTAAGTAAAGTCACGACGGGCCTCCAGCATGATTTTTTCATTTTGCCTTTCCGACCCCTCTGCATGAGGAGGAAGCTCAGAAGGCACAACAGAGACTGGACATGGCTTGTTTTCCAAATCGGAAACTTTGTCAGCCACTTCATGACATCTATTGCACACAAAATTTGCCTTTACCAAGGTGTGCGTACCCCTCTTTTGCACCTTGAAAAACGCAACAGATCGTGTTTTCGATGCACAAGCTTGCACTCGCTACACATCCACCCACAAGCGATAGGTTCGTGGAAAACCACCTTCTCCCCAGACATCACAGGTGAATCGATACCTAGGTGCCGGGGCAACATGTGACACTGTATGCTATATTACCTATATTGGGACAGATCTGCGCACTTCACTTTCACACATATGTGGAACATGATATGATTTGGCATCCCAGCCACGGCCACGAGGCGGCGGTGTGCAAATCGGAGACTCGACTTCGCCGGGGGTGCCTAGGAAAGCTGGTCGGTTCTGATCAGAAAAAAATATAGTTGAACCAAATACAGGACACTGGTCTTTATATAATTCATCGATATTTTCAAATCTTGTTCAACATGTTTGCAGTCAAACCACTGTTGGACTTGTCAGTGGGAACCAGATCTGCAGGAGCAGGGGGCTTGGCATCCGTAGGATCCACAGGTTTTTCCTCCACAAGAATAGCAAAATGCCCATCCCAACCCACTAAAGTTTGACAGTGCTGATGGTTTTTACCTACTGGTGCTCCCAGGTAGTTTGGTGTCCTCTTCATCGTCATCCAAGGGCTCATCGTCTGAGCAGGCAGCCTCGGACTCGGCACTCTCGTAGTCGTCAGCGTCTTCAGTGTCTCCTGAAAAGCAGACTTTAAAGTAAAGATACTACTTTTTTAAAAAAATGTTGTCAACCATAATCAACATCGATCCCAACAGGGATTTCTAGCATGATTATAAATTTGCACATGTGATCGAATCCAATTTAGGGTCCTTCGGGTACTGGCTCCACATTAATGCCAATCGCTGCAAACAGTCTTCGCATCTGGGGGTCTCTTGGGATGTGCGGCCGCCTGGCCACCTGTGCAAAGATGGTAATTAGCCTCCTCAAAATCCAAGCTTCAGTCTTGATGGTCACACCTGGGCCAGATTATGCGCAGGAAGTATTTGAAGGACCTATGTGGTAAACAAATCTTTCCGTATCATTCATTCATGTTTGATGGTTGAACCTATACCAATTGCTGCTTCGCAACTTTTGGGCAAAGCCTTCCCCCGGGGTCGGGAAAGATAAAGGAATCGAGCCACCACATCCATCACGACTCCAATGCCCGGACGAGTGCCTAAGCCGGACAGAACATTAATCTATTATACCATATCATACCGAAGGACAGGGATCCCCTTGTTTGCAAAACAATTCAGCTAGGGTGCCAAAGTGTTGAATCAAGGGTTCAAGAACGTCGGCGTTGTCAGCCACTGATTGACGATCCATTTTCTTGCCAACTTCGGCAATCTTTCCACCAGCCGCCCGGGAAACTACAAGGTCTAGTTTCATCCAAGCGTTGACTACTGGGCATTGTTTCTCATCCAACCCAGACTCGCTTGACGCCATGGTTGGGCCAAACTATGTTTCAACTTCAACCTTTTAAGCCAGCGCTACCCATAAAATCAAAATCGTGAGAAATCAAACCACAATCTAAGATGTGTCCACAAAACAGCGGTCAAGTTCATCCAAGGTTGATCAATTGTCAGCCCTGCCAGGCCTACATCAAAATCTCGTACCTGGAAGGGAGCGTGCACTAGAACGCACGGGGCTACACACGGATCACATTAGTAATAAACTCATCAAAGAAAGATTCTCAAGGCGCACCCCATGAGATTGGCACCCGACATTGCAGGTCTTTTGACGTATTAATGGCCGCGGCTAGGGGCGCGGGCTCAAAAAACATGACGAATTCCAAAAAGTTGACGATGCCATAAAAAGTTGACGAATTATGAATTATCACTCGTTTTCCTCAAAAGGACTACGAAGGCAGGGGGGGAGACTTTTTTCCAGTACGTTTGGATGTTCAGGTGGATATATATATATATACTATATATATATATATACATGGGTTATATATGGGTTAATATATGGACTTTCTATGGATTTTCTATGGTTTTTCTACGGATTTTCTATGGATTTTCTATGGATTGTAAGATCCTCACTGGGATGAACATCATCGAACTTTCGTCATGTCATCACCGGCGGACAACCCGTGGCCAAGGCACTGCCGGCGCCCGCAATGATCAGTTGCGGTCCTGCGACTTTCGCGCAAACAGCCTGGCTTCACAGATGGAGCGTTGACAACATTGGGTTTCTTGGGGTTTATGGCGACGATGAAATGTTGGGGTTGTAACATGTTGTAACCCAACGTTGGGTTACATTTCAATGTTCATTTTTTTCTCATCAAACAACATCTTAATGTTGGGGTTTATGGCGATGTTTGATGACTAGATGATGTTTCGATGTGTTCAAGTTTGGAGGTTCCATCTTGTAGGTGTAGTAATTGAAAGCTCCATTAAAAGGGTGGTTAACTATGCCTCATACTCACACGTTCACTTGATATTCCCATCTTCTATTCTTGGTAGCCTGTGGCAATTGATCAATGGCAACCTGGAAACTCCTCATTACTAATGGATCTGCAAGATTTTTCAGGCCAGGTATTCCCAAAGGGTATAACCGAATGTTTCACTGGTGAACATGTTCCGATGTTTGTTCATAATGTTCCAGTGTCAGCTGACATTTTTTGGATTCTGTTTGTAAGCTCCTCATCCACATGCACGTAGGCCCCCAGGCAACATTTTTCTTTGCTCATCCGTGACTTTTGGGACAAACATGTGATTATTCCTGCATGATGGAATGGTGGGCAGTGACCCTAACTTAACTATCCCCCATAGCATATAGCATGGCTACAATCATTCAATCCAGGATCCATCTAGAGTATATTGTACCCCATTCTTGTAGAAACAAACTGTTCGGACTTTACGCAAATCCAGAAATCAAGAATAATTTCCCTACTAATTATACGAGTACTAATTATAATCAAAAAAACACGGGTCCGGAATTAGAATTCACCACTTAAATATCACCCATCATAATGTATGGATGGACCAAAAACCTATTGAGCAGCATTAAACAATTTGGGGGTATGGACATCCATGAGCAACAACTATTTTGGTGTGAACAACAGGGTACCAGAGTTTAACCCGTAGCCATAGGTTCAAGGGTCCCATCATGTCCCATCTGGTCAACGGGAATTTCAGGATCCTAAAATGGAGGTACTGTACCATATAAGGCCATATTTTCTGGGAATATTACCTTACATAGGCCTTATATATGGTAGGTACCTCCAATTTAGGTTCCTGAAATGGCCAGTGATCTGGGGTTTGGTCATCCAACCGTCATGAATGAGATTCCTTATACTAGGTATCCCATTACCCTCTGAATGGATTGACGAGCATCTCCCAATACGATGATCTGGGTATACAACCTAACTCTTGAGCATCTGAACCCATCTCGGCTGGTTAATGATTATATCGTACTAGTTAGGGGGCACCACCGCAGAAACACCCCCAGCTCCTAAGTGGCTTGGTGTAAAAATAGGCTACCCCCAATTCAATGGTTAGTTAATGATAATGATTCATTGTCAGGAACGAATGAACCATGTAAAATGAATATGAATGATGTCCATAATCACGTTTGTACTATGTTCATGTTCATTAATATGTTCCCTCTCAAAATGCCGTTTGTTGGGGCTGCATGATTAGTTATCAACATTGGTCCAATTCTTGGGGCTGATAAATAATCATAATTGATCAATTCATCCATAATCATCCAATAGATGATCATCATCCAATAGATCATCCCATCATGTTAATATCATCCATAGTAATTGATAGCTAGTATATTAACAATGTTATGTCTAAGGATGATGATGTCATAAACATGATATGTCAATTAGTTAAGTAGTTAATCATCCATCTAACAATTGGTCACCAATAGATCACCCCATAATCATGTTCATATATATAATATAATATAATATAATATAATATAATATAATATAATATAATATAATATAATATAATATAATATAATATAATATATATATGTTAATATCATTCATAGTAATTGATAACTAGTTGACATATCATGCTTCATCCATCTCCCCCCATTGTCGCCTTTCGCTGGCTCGGGTTCAAGGACCTGGTCGACCTCTGCGTGGGCGTCACCTGCTGCCTTCGCGGCACCAACGATTGCCGCACCCGTGTGGCGAGGGTAACGCCCAAAGCGCCAAGGACCTGAAAATGTGGAAAGCTGGGGAGCTTGTAATATGCTGAAAAATGGCGGGAAACTCTGGCAAAATAAACAAAAAAGAAGGGAAACTACGGGAAAAGTTGGATTTCACCAGCAGAAATGCAGGACAATCCGAATTTCACCAGCAGAAATGGGGATTCCACCAACAAATCGGAAGTGGTGAACGACACTCCCAGATATCACTGGGCTATACGAACAATGTGAGGCCCCCAAGATAGCTAAGTTGGTTTATAACTCCAATAACTATGGTTTATGGTACTTATAACCATAGTTACTGGGGCTTATAAACCAACTTCTAACTGGGGGGCCTGTTATCCAGTCACGAGTCGTGAAATGATCCAAGTAGGAATGGAACATGACCCAGTCGTGTGGATGTGATTTCCCTATGTTCGGTTACCTGATGATCAGTAGAAATTGACAGGTTATATACAAGTTAAGTGAAAATTATACTATAAGTTAAGTGATATACTATTTATAAGTTACTGATGATCATCAGGTAACCTGTCAATCTATACATATGGCATCATGGTTACCATTAAAATACTCCTTATCGTGATAAGAGGCGTGGTGCCGCAAAGCTGATGCAAAATGGCAATGGCTGGGCAGCCAGGTATACCAACCATGGATCCTACGTTTGGGATGTTAGTATTGGTCCTCCTTAAAAAAGACCTTATTCTCCAGTTCAGTAAACTAGCATGGCTATGGAACCTATGGCTATTTTTGGATGATTCACCATGATTTACCTGTCAAAGTGGTGACTTTCAATAGCTACATCAAAAATTACCAGATAGTAGTATTCGCAGGTTCATCCACTTGATTTTGATTTCACAGGGAGTTGTTGGGGGATTGGTTGGTCCATTGAGGGTGAACTAAGGTGGTTCCCATAGCCTACGTGAACTATGGTTTATGGTATACCAGTAGTACCGCACAAGGCGGTGGCGGAAGTTTCAAAAATAGGAAACCTATAGGAGAGGTTGGTTGTTGTGAATCAGGGATGGCAAAGCGAATCCACTGATGGACCGAAAGGTGCTTGAGGTCTCCTCTCTGTCTCTCTCTTTCTCTGACTATCTACTTACCTACCAGCCTATCTTCTGTGTATCTATCTATCTATCGATCTATCTATCTCTCTCTTTCTCTCTTTCATCTAATTACCTATCTACGTATCTACGTATCTACCTATCTACCTATCTAGCTATCTACCTATCTACCTATCTATCTATCCATCTATCTATCTATCTGTCTATCTGTGTATCTGTCTACCTGTCTATCTGTGGTGCAGTGTCATTCAGTGTATTGTAGTGTAGTGTAATGTAGTGTAGTGTAGTGTAGTTTCGTGTAGTTGAGTGTAGTTGTGTAGTCGTAGTTGTAGTTGTAGTGTAGTGGAGTGTAGTGTAGTGTAATGTAGTGAAGTGTAGTGGAAGGTAGTGTAGTATAATGTAGTGTAGTGTAGTGGAGTGTAGTGTAGTGTAATGTAGTGTAGTGTAATTTAGTGTAGTGGAGTGTAGTGGAGTGTATTGTTGTGGAGTGTAGTTGTGTAGTTGTAGTTGTAGTTGTAGTGTAGTGGAGTGTAGTGTAATGTAGTGAAGTGTAGTGGAAGGTAATGCAGTGTAGTGTAAGAGTGGGTAGTGGAGTGTAGTGTAGTGTAATGTAGTGTAGTGTATTTAGTGTAGTGGAGTGTAGTGAGTGGAGTGTAGTGGAGTGTAGTTGTAGTTGTAGTTGTAGTGTAGTGGAGTGTAGTGTAGTGTATGTAGTGAAGTGTAGTGGAGGTAGTGTAGTGAGTGTGGTGTAGTGTAGTGGAGTGTAGTGTAGTGTAATGTAGTGTATTGTAGTGAAGCGAAGCGAAGCGACATCTGAACCTCAAAAGTGGTCCGAACCCCTGGTGTTTTTAACATTTTGACTTGGAAATGTGCTTCGCGCCACAACGGCGTGCACTTTTTCGACATCTGAACCTCCAAAAGTGGTCCGAACCCCTAGTGTTTTAACATTTTGACTTGGAAATGTGCTTCGCGCCACAACGGCGTGCACTTTTTCGACATCTCAACTTCCAAAAGTGGTCCGAGACCTGTGTTTTGCACTTTTGACTTGGAAATGTGCTTCGCGCCACAACGGCGTGCAATTTTTCATCGCTCCTGTGGCCAGCTGGCTCCGCACCCGCCGCTTTAGCGAGCCTACTTTTCGACCCTCCGGAGCCACAAATCATTGGAAAAACACAGTGTTTCGCGACTTTCCTACCTTTTCGCGCAGCTGTATCTTCTGTCTTCTTACTCTTTCTCTTCTAATCTTCCTCTTCTCTCTGCCTCTTCCCTGCTCTGTTTTTCATCTGTCCATATTGTCGGAAGTTTGACTTCTAAACTTCCTTCGATCATTAACTTGGGTTACAAACCTACAAATACAACTGGTGGCACAAGCTTGTAAAACACCTAGATATGGACAATTCATCATGTCAAAATAGCTAGAAACTGGTAGTGTCCACTTTATATATTAACCACTTTGCGAAATTTTAGTTAGATATGCACAATTCATGACAATTCACCATTGTAGATTATTTTCGAGGAAGATTTTTACAATTCACCATTTGTAGATTGTTACAATTCACCATGTGTAGATATTTCATGACAATTCACCATTTTTGGGAAACCATGGAAATATCTAGGCCAAGATGCCCGTAGGTCAAAACGAGTGGTCCCACTTCTTGCCGTTTGCTCAACGCGTCGCCGAGCACACGAGTGCCGCGAGTGCGGGAGGACAGATGCTCTTGGCACCTCGCAACGAGAAGGTCGATCTCCCAATGAACGTTTGTATGTTATGTACTGGGATTATATGGATATGTTATGTATGTGGATTATATGGATATTGTACTGCTTGCTTGAATATGTGTATATATATATATATGTATTGTTGAATGTGTATATATATATATATAAATCGTATATGCTACGAGTAAGTAATGATGGAATGACAATCCTTTTTTATGTGAAAATAAGAACCCAATTAAGACCTACAGATTCCATTCAAACGGATAGATTTCGCTCCAAGGGTTCCCTTATGTTCCTTGAAGGATCATCCCCACTTCGGGTAACTCAACATAGCTATGGACAATTACTTGTTTAGTTCGATCTACATGGTGATATTCCACAGCTATATTTAACCAAAAAAAACACGTGACTCAATCCCCATATCCATGTATATAATTGTATATATATAATACACTCACATACACATACACAGTTCCCATTAAAAGCCCCCTTTTTTATACACGTGTCATTTTTTTCGGATCTCCCAGTGGTCCTTAAAAAATCCAACTGCCACATGGGATACTCCGCACCCGGCCCCGTCACCGCGCCGGCACCGTCACGGCGCCCGGCAAGTCTGCTCTGGAAGCCATGGCAGCCATGGTCCATTCAGTTTGATGGTATTTTAGATACCTAAAGATGTTTGGAAATTTCAAAGATACCATCTTCAGTTTAGATGGACATAGTTGTCTATGGTTGTCTAAAGATGTTTTTTGTTCCATAGCAAACTATTTAAAAATAGCAAACTATTGGATGTATCCATGGTAAACAAAATCAATACCATGGTAATACCATGTAATTTAGCAAACTACTTACTGGTTGGTGATTGACTTACCCCTCTGAAAAATGATGGAGTTCGTCAGTTGGGATGATGAACTTCCCAACTGAATGGGAAAATTAAAAAATGTTCCAAACCACCAACCAGATTAAAATACCACAGAATAATACTGCAAAATTTGTTCGATGTGTGGAATTGCAAAGAAAATGTGGCCGAACCGTCTTTCTTGGGTATGCGCTGTTCCAATTCTTAGCTAAATTGGTTAAACAAGTAGTGATTAACATTTGCGTTTATGCTAAGTGGGTTTAGAACCAGCAAACTGGGTCTAGTGTGCTTGTCTGTTGATAAAGAAAACAGCAAATAGACCTGGTTGGGCTACCAGCTTGCGACCATCTTTTTTTGTTCATACGTTCAAAACCTAACTTTGACCAGGACGAGTAATGTGAGCATATCATATGGATCATGTTTTCAGTGCAGCAAACCTGGCTGAAATAATGATGACCACGTTTTAGTAGTGCGTGGGCCAACATAATGAGGTTGATAACATCAATGACAATAACATAATAACACTATTAAGAATCATATTATGCACGGTAGACGTCAGTAAACCATAGTAAACCAGGTCTTGAGACATTTCAAAGGTTCTTTCAACCATGACCAGGTGTGATATGGTCTTGGAGCAAAAAAACAACACTGAGACTGAGTGATTTGTGGAATTCGGTAGCAAGATGCGAGGATAGGTCGCACTTAAGTGCACTCCTAGACTGCGATGTTTTCCATTGCCCACGTATGTTGTTCCTTCCCCATGTTTTCAGGGTACTGCAAGTTTCATGATTATCGATTATATCATGTCCGAGGTGTTTACTGTTTATATATACTGTATATATTATACATATATATATACCTTACTATCGGCGTTGGCCTCTTTATTTGGGCCTTTCTGTTTTCTGGCTTTTGGACCCAGAAACTATTTGCAGATTTCCAGGAACTATTTGCAGAGTTCCAGGAACTATTTGCAAAACACATGCAATATTTTGAAGGAATATAATATGTGCAATATATTGAGGACCATGTGATGATGAGTTGACAAAGGCTAGCTAAAGGGAAAACAACAACAGAACACTTAAATGCTATTAAGTGCTGATTCCAACTGATTCCAACTGATTTCAGCCTTAATATATATATATACCATGTATACCATGTTGTGTCTCCAAAATCTATAGATTGTCTACGACCTCACCCAAAAAAAAGGACGGGAACAGGCTCCAGTATCTTTCACGGATTTCACCAGCTGGAGGAACCACAGAGATCCATTTCGGGGTACCAGTTATGATCCATTTGAAACCAGGATTGACCATGATCAACTATCCATTAATACAGTTATGGCCATTTACCAGTTATAACTGGTTATTTTTATGGGACTATACATTCTATAAATGGGGTTATAAGTACTTATAAGTGATAAATGGCCATAACTGTAGGGGTACCCACATTTCCGGAAACAAAAGTTTGATCCTCATTTTCGCCGCACAACATCAACACATCACGCTTTGTGGTGTTGATATGTTATGCGTTATGATGGTTTGTGTGTGTGCTAAATCACAACATCATAAACCATCATTATCCGTGGTATATGTGGTATATCATTAAGCACCATAAACCGTCATAAATACATCATAGCACATCCAACAACACGCCGTGGCCCGCGCCATGCGACAAAACACGCTGCGGCGATAAAGCCTGGCGCAACTCACTTCGATTGCCAGGGACGGGTTGGATTCATGGTAATGATTGATGAGGGATGATGTACAATGGATGTTTTTTCATGTATATATATATATGTATATGTGTATACAATGATGTACAATGTAATATTGATATTAGGGATTATATATATAGTATCACTGTATACATATATATATATACACATGAATGTTTTAACACATATAACTTATACGTTGAATATATACATATATATATATACATGAATCATGTTATGACAAGTCTCAACAATGACAAGAATAACTTAATTATAGACATATGTAGTATAGTGTATTAATGACATAGTGCGCATTTATCTTCATGATGTTAAAACTGGTACGTTTTTAACAAACTATAGGCTATGGAAGCCATGGCCCATTGACTTCGAAGATTTAGCCTAGATGTACCTATTCAAAAATTGTGATTTTCTAGATTCCCTATTTAAAAAATGTGGACTTTCTAGATTTACCTCTTAAACATGGTGATTTTCGAGATTTCCCTATAAAAAAAACGGTGATTTTCTATAGCAACCCGTTAGTTTCACGCCGGGGCGAACGCCAGGGGCGCCTCCGGATGTTTCTCCGTCACCTTAGTTTTTCTTGGCCCTGTTGAAGCCCCAAGTAGTGATTGATAGTGACTAATAGTTATATCTATATATATAGTGATCCCACCAATTAATCTGACACATATCAAATGGTAGGTTTTCGGATGGCCAAAATATTATATATATATATATTACAAAGTGATTAACAGTGACTAATAGTGATTAATAGTGGTGTATATATATATATATTATAGCTTGATCCCACCAATTAAATAATCTGAAACATATCATTAAAATGGTAGGTTTGTTTTTTGGTGGGATATATATATATATATATTACATAGTGATTAATAGTGACTAATAGTGATTACTTGTGATTAATGCAATGGTTCCATGGCGAATCCCAAATAGCTGGACGGTGATGGAACATCCATGGATGGATGATTTGGGGGGTACCCACATGACTGAGGAAACCACCATAGGATGGGACAATTGAAAACAAATGAACAGCGGCATGTTTCACTGAACAAAAAGTCTATGTTCAGACAAAATCATAAATATATATATATACCCTTCATAGAATAAGAGAACATAAATATTGCACATATTTGGACATGGTTATCCCTTACTCAGACCTCAATTTCATGTGTTGAAACGCTTTGACATCTGGCTAACTGCCACCATGGATTCCGAGATCACGGCAGAATCCGCAGTCTCCACGCCTGGAAATCTCCATGGGGATTTCTGGGTTGTTTACCAACAACAACACCAACATTTTAATTTTAGGGTTATCTAAATTAATGGTAGTTGATCATCATCCACTAGATCATCCCATAATAATGTTAATATATTAATGTCAATATAATCCCATAGTAATTGATAACTAATCTTTTTGGTGGTTGACCTACCCCTCTGAAAATATGAGTCGTCAGTTGGGATGATGAACTTCCCAATATATGGAAAAATAAGAAACGATCCAAACCACCAACCAGAAACTACTAACTACATTGGAGGAATTTAAGAAAACTAACCAAACAAATTTACGAACTTGTTAGAATTTCAGTAACCAAAGAAACTAACTACATTGGAGGATTGAACCAACAAATTGGGGGATTTGACCAAAAGAATCCTGTGCGATCTAGCGGAAAAGATAACATGATGCTTAGTGGTTCATCCCACTGAAACAACGAGCGGGTGAACTAAGCTACATACGATTCGTGGGTAGTTCACCACCAAGTATGGCCATTTATCAGTTATAAGTACTTATAACCCCATTTATAGAATGTATAATCCCATAGAAATAACCAGTTATAACTGGTAAATGGCCATAACTGCACCAAGTATGGTGATTTTTCAGATACGAAAACGCGACGTGGCCCTCCAGAGTGGCTGAGCCTGCCAGGCCGGACCCCGGGTCCGCCTCGCGGTTTGATGCTTCTGCAGGCAGGCGCTGGACCTTGGTGAAACTTCGGTGAAACCGGGCCCCACTTAGCAAATGGTCTATATCCATATCCATAAGACATATAGAAAGTCCATATAATCCCATATTATACTGAATATATATATACATATGTGGGGATATTCCATATATATATATATATATCATACATATATATATATATATCATACATATATATATATACACGTATACATGTATACAAAACTGGGGGTATAACATGGTATAACCCATTTACCAATTGCGATGCACCTCCAAGTAGGAGAAACAGTATGGCTCAACTAAGATACCAACGAAAGAAACACTTTGATTCTTAGGGGCCACGACATATTGGTCCATTTCTGGTGCAAAAGTCCCAGGTAGCCATCCAATGCAAGGTTTACGGCGAGGAATTCTGATGTTCAAAGGATCGAAGTAATTCTGAGAGAATCCATAGGGATGTAACCGATAGTCTGGTTATCGCAGTATCACCAGTCAAGAAGTGGAATAATTTTCATTCCTAACCTGTCCCAACCTGAAAATTCTTGACGTTTCACATAAAAAAAAGCATGCGCTATGATTACCACCACTCGCCATCAAAGATGTGCACTTCATGGGATCTTCCCATACCTCGGGATAGCATTCACAATTGGGATACACAAGCGATGGGATACAATCGATCAAATGGGCACAATCATGGTTAAACCTTGTGGAGGTATGCATGATTATAGATGATTATACATGTTTGTCTAGACTTGTGAAGGGAAAACCCTGCAATGAATTGCAGTGTTTTAACAGCAAGTTTACCATACTCTATCATATATGTTACTCAGATTTTACCATCACTTTGGCCTTTGGCCCATATTTTTCAGACCAGACGCTGAAGGCCACGCTGGAGGGTCGTTCGGACAAACCTGCGAGAGCAATGGGAAAAGCCAAATTAGAGGGAATCCACCGTCAAAATTTACTGTAAATAGTCATACATACTACTTATAGATACTTATAGTGCGAAATGACCGTGGGGCTCGGGGGTAGTCATGCTTGGGAAAAAAAGACACGGTGATCCACCATCCCAGTGCATGG